TGTGTGTGTGTGTGTGTGTGTGTGTGTGTGTGTGTGTGTGTGTGTGTATGTGTGAGAGAGAGAGAGAGAAAGAGACAGTGCTACTAGCAACAACCTTCCTGTGAGCTCTTATTTGGCTAAGATGTGTTTATGTGTTTGTGTGTTTGTGTGTGTTGCAGAGAGGGGAAAGGGGAGGCAGCGGCAGGCTATACTGGGAGAGCATCCATCCAACGGTTATGGTACTGTCTGTCTGTCTGTCTGTCTGTCTGTCTGTCTCATCCTGATCCCTGACAGTCCTCCAGTGTTTCTAATCCCAGAGTGTTGTGTGTCTCTGCAGGCTCGCACTGCCCCCTGCTGCCTCTGCCTGGGAACTGCAGGTACAGGAGGAGCAGTGAGGAGGTGCAGGACATGATCTCCTACCCGCTGCTCCTCCCTAAGACCTCCCACTCCTACTCCTCCTCCTCCTCCTTCCTGGGCCACGGCGCCTCCAGCTCAGTCGCCATGGTGAGCGGCCTCCATCCAGCCAAGATGAACTGCAGCTGCATCTTCAACCTCTTCTGTCTCTACGGCAACGTGGAGAAGGTGTGCTGACCCTCAGAGTGATGGGGTCATGGATGTGTCACAGTTCTGCCAACCTGTCAATCATCTGGAAGAAACGATCCCTCTAAAAACCTGACATGATTGGTTGTGTTCGCAGGTGAAATTCATGAAGAGCGTTGCCGGCACGGCGTTGGTGGAGATGGGGGATGAGTACGCGGTGGACCGGGCCGTGACTCACCTCAACAGCATCAAGGTGTTTGACAAAAAACTCAACGTCTGGTGAGTCCTGACCTTTCTTTTTGCACCAACCATCAAGCCGAAATGTCACTGAAACATAAAAGTATGAATTAGAAATTAGACTGAAAGATATCCCTCCATCTATCTCCATCTATCCCCCCCCTTCACCCCTCAGTGTGTCCAAACAGCAGGCGGTCATTCCCAGTCAGGTGTTTGAGCTGGCCGACGGCAGCAGCAGCTACCAGGACTTCAGTCTGAGCAGAAACAACCGCTTCAGCAGCGCACAGAGCAGCAGGAACATCATCCAGCCGCCCTCCGCCGTCCTGCACTTCTACAACGCCCCTCCCACCCTGAGCCAGCACCAGCTGCACAAGGTGAGGTCACACCTGCACGAGGTGTATTATTGGTTACAAATGTTGGATTACTGAGAGAGCTTTTTGACGAGGTGTAAACTGAGACGAGAATGGGGCCCAGTATAGAGCTCTGAGGGACACCTTTGCTTATGAGATGTGACATTAAGAATATGTTGTCATGTTGAATGCATACAATGTGAAAAATGTTTTCTGGGCTTTTTGAGACACTTTGGCACAATATGTAGCTCTGTGTGATTTCAGCCATTTAAGAATTTTTTTGATAAAAGATTAAAATAAAGTCCTTGTCGAAGGTTGATCAGCGTTTCATTTAAACTTCAATTTGATTCTGCTCAGAATCTGTAGTATTTTAATAAAACTAACATGCTATACAAGATGATAAGATTTCATCTCTGGTCTATAGTTGTACTCTGGGTGGAATGAAGGAGACCGCTTTGCCTCGTAAACCTACCATTAGGAAACTTCAACCGAGTGCATTTCCCATAAACATGGCCATTATGGCTCTATGGATTGTGCTGACTTTGCACTCGCCACCTGCGTTTGAGTCAAGACCTCTGCAAAACAATATTTATGGGGACGAGCTAAGCGACCCTCCTAAAGCTTTCCAAATAAACATGACTTTTTTTTCATGAATCATTTTAATGGCTTGTCTTTGAGTCTGAACAAAAGTAAACACAGAAAGAAATCTGTGTGATCTTGCCGTCTGACCTCATCACCCTGCATATCTTTCTACGCATGCCGTTTACATGTGGGAAGCGGACTCTCGTCATTTCATTCTTGCAATTCAGAAACCTGCAGGTACAAACCATATTATCTTGTTTGCTACATGGACTGTATATAATATAATATAACATATATTGAAGCCTTAAGTTCTGCATATTGTCCATCTTGGTTTTTGGCCGTCACCATCTTGTTTTTTGCATTCAGAAGTGACACGAGAAGGTGGAGCTATGAAAAGCTGAATGCTGAATAAGACAGTTTTAGGTGACCAAACTGAAACCTCACTGTGAAAGGGCTAACTCCCAGACCGGCGAACGGCTTTTCTACGGTTTTGCACTCGGTGGCTCACGTTACCGCAGTCTTAGAAAGTCAGGAGTGAGCAGAGGCTTATTCAGTTCGTTGCATTCTGCAACCACTGGTTGCCACCAAATCCTGCACACTGTGCCTTTAAAAACAGTCTGACCTCTCTTCTCTGTTTCTCATCTGCAGCTCTGTACTGAACACAACGTTCCCGCCTTCACCAAGTTCAAGGTCTTCGATGCCAAATGTGAGTTTAGCCAATCACACAGCATAGAGCTATAGAAAAAATATTACTTATGCTTATTAGATAAATTATAAATAGAAAATATATATTTAGCTGAGATATTTAAACTCAGACACATATTTTCCACTCTTCTCCTTTTTCTTCTTCCTTATCAATGCTCCTCCTCCTCCTCCTCATCCCAGCAGCCAGCTCTAAGACTCTGTCTGGTCTGCTGGAGTTCGACAGTAAAACTGATGCTGTGGAGGCTCTGACCGTCCTCAACCACCACCAGATCAGAATACCCAGTAAGTACTCAACTAACTGACACACACTGATAATGCAGTGGTGACTGTCCAATCAACTGTCAACCCAAGTTCACCAGGTACCTTTTCTTTTTTGCCTCACCTTGACAACACACCAAACGGTTTATCCATCTGCTCAGTGCTTCTGTGCGACCTCACTGAGACCACAAGACTTCATGAATATCTGCAGTCACAGCGTCTGTTCTTCAAGAAATAGTTCCAGCGTGTGACTTTTTCTCTTTGTGTACAGATTAAACAAACAAGTGTTGTGAGGGGTAGTGTTTGTACAGTCTTTATGCTAAAATAAGCTGACCCATCCTGGCTCCAGCTCTGTACACAGACATGAAATAGATATCCATCAGATAGAAAGTAAAGAAACAATGTTTGTTTATATATTGTATACATACAGTTTATTTATATACTTGCTCTCCCTTCTCTGACCTGCAGACAGCTCCAACCCCTTCACCCTGAAACTCTGCTTCTCCACCTCCTCCCATCTGTGAGCCACAAACAAGATCGTCGCCGCAGTTGGCAGGTCCTCCAGAACGACGGGGAAGTTTTATTCTTTACAGAAAGAGAAAATGATGCAGAACGGTGGCAGGAGATTTGAGTTTTTTCCTGTGAGGCGTTTGAATGGATGATTTTATTTGTGTGGTTTCTGTTTATTTGAGCATTGAGATGGAGTCGTGACGAGGCAGTTTAACGAGGAAAAGCACCTTAATGAACTAAATGAGTTAACGGTCCTTGGAGCCTCCTTTAAAACATGAGTGATGCCAGCGATCTGAGAGAAAACCTTCTGCTCCGGCTGAAATGTGATTTCTCCCACAAGAGAAATCAAATCGATAAATAGCTTTATCCTCCACAAAAGGCCCTCAGATCCTGAAGAGATATGAAGATATCAGCTGTCACTAAATACAGAAGTAGTCACACATGAAACAGCTTTTTAGAGGAGCGATGTAGTTGTTGTTGTAACAGGCCGAACTCAGGGAGGAATCAGATATCAGAGTATTTATGTGACAATCCTGAAATATTTTTTTTACAAGTAATTTTAATATTGTTGGACCAGTTTAGGATTTATTCAGTTTTATTTCATTTCGTTGACTTTAAAGTTATTTTATCATCTCAGTTGAGCCGCTAATGGTAAATCAGTGTATTTCATGTAAAACGGAGCTCAAAGATTAGTAGTTTTATTTGTGTGATTGATTGAATTTAACAAATTTATTTTTATTTTTATAGTTATAAATGCACTCTCTGGGTTTCCTCCACAACTGCACTGCTGAATGACTTTTTAAGAAGAGGGGGTCGGTTCTTGTTTTACTGAGGAGCTGATCAATGTTATTGTTTATAGTTTCCTCTGTAGTTATCAGTCGGGAGGTGGAAAGCACAACATTATTAATTGAACATTTACAGAATAATTACATTTTATGGATAAAGTCCTTTTTACTTTTCGTTGTTTGATTTGTGACTTTTCAAGTAGCAATACTTTGTGTCTGTGTACTTACTAAATTAATTCTTGGTTCCAGAAATTGTGGTTCAGCTGTTGGATGACAAGTTAGCCACAAGTTATTTATGAGGCTGTATTTCCAGCTACTTCTGCTGCACGCAAGTTTGCAAAAAAACAAAACAAAACAGCAATTAAAACAGTTCTTAGTCACGAAAGCAATTAGTGTAAATGTCATGTGTGACGGCGAAGGTTTTGGCCTCACGCGACAAAATAGCTCTAGCATGACACAAAGTTAGCCGTATAACTGCTAAAAACAACGGACTCACTGTAGCAATTTAGAATAACAATAACTTCCCATAAGACTTTGAGCTCGATGCATCATAATAATAATGACTAAATGTGTTACAATGCCACATTTGTGTTCGGATGCTCATACCATGTTGGCTGGATCAACCACAGAACTCGTTAACAGTTTTCATGCAAACTGTTTCTTCTGCAATTATCTTGAGTGTGTGGGAAGACAAGTAGTGATTTTTCAACATTTTTTTGAGCAGCACCAACTAAAGTTAATTTACCTCCATTTTATTTGGGGGGAGGTTTTGTGAGTGTGTGTAATTCTGGGTGAACTGCCCCTTTTTAAAAATATCTTAAAGGAATACTTCACCCGCAACATACATTACTCACCACGTGTTACTTTGAGTTCTTGAAGACAGCTTTGTTTTTCCTGCAGGCCTCCACGGTGAAAGAGAATCACAAAACGTCTTGATGGAGCGGGAAACGTCTTGATGAATTAAGCAAATGGGGATTTGTGTTTATCAACAGCAAAACTGTATCAAAACATTACAAACTCTGACACAACTCGAGCAGTTTAATCCAAGTTTCTTTTTTCCAGTCGTATGCTCAGTACTTCCTAAACACATGCATTTTGACCCAGATCTTTTTATTCAAAACACTTTTGCATCAACAGTCTCACGCTTGCAAAGGCGTGCTACTTGTCCGTGCGAGTGTTTTGGATAGTAAAGTTTTAGCAAAGATGCACGTGTTTGGGAAGTATTCAGCATACGAGTGGATAAATGAAGCTTGGATTATACTGCACGATTTGTGTGAGAGTTTGTGAACGGATGTCTTGATGATTTGCTGTTGTAATACGCGGCCTCCATTCATTTAATTGATCAAGACTTTTCTCTGGTTTTTGATTCTCGGTTCACCGTGGAGGCATGCAACAATTCAAGGCAACGCGTGGTGAGTAATTAATATACAAATGGACATTTTGTGGTTGAAGTATTCCAGAGTTTTGATGGTGGTTGAACCATTCAACAGAACTATGTTTCTGACTGTCAACTTTGTTTGTCACTGTCTGTTCATTAAATGTTTGTTAGAGTTTTGCTGTTTATTTGATCTGTGATCGTATCTGACCAAAAAGACGTCATGTCCAACCTCCACTTGTGTTTCCAAATGTTCAGTAGTTATCGTATTTTTTGATAATTCAGCCCTTTATAGTAATTCCTAAAACCCCTACATGTTTGATAATGTCAGCAAGTCATGTTTTGTTTTTTTACATGATAGTTCAATAGTATGGGGTTGAGTTTTCATCATATGTTAACAATGTAAGAAATATGTATTCAGAAAACTACCCCTGGATCTGCCATAAACTACTTGTAACTGTATGCCACAACTTTGATTTAAAGGGACAGTGTGTGGATTTAGTATTTCTAAAACATGAATGTCCCGGGTGTTTGGTTTATTGTTCTGTGCTACTGTATGAATATAGCGGACTCCGTGAAGAGGACTTGCTCCCTATGTAGATATAAATGGCTCATTCTAAGGATTCAAAAACACAACGATTATAAGTTTCAGGTGATTATACACTAATGAATACATAGTTATGAATATTATATTTCTGCCAACAGATGACCCTAAATGCTACACACTGGCCCTTTAAATGTCAAACATTTTAGTTTGGCTTTTGGCGAGAAAAAAACATTTAACTGTCCGCATGGCACTTTGAACTCAATGCTCACATCAGCATGTTAGCATGCTCACTATGTTAACTTGCTTAAGTTTAGCAGGTATAATGTTCTCCATGTTGCATGCAGTAAACACAAAGTGCAGCTGAGGGGAATGTCACCAGTTCTGCAGTTATTTGGTCATAAACCAAAGTATTGCTACACATTAAAATGTTGACCTGATGATGGCGCTAAAGTCAGAGGATCATCAAAGTCAATATAATTCATCCTCTGGGGAACATGAACGCGTGAACCACATTTCATCACAATCCATCCAAAAGTTAATATAGTGAGTTATAACTCAAAACCACAAATGTGAACCTTATGGTGGCGCTAGATGAAAAGCCAGAGGTTCACCAAAGTCAGTAGTATTAATCCTCTGGGCACCATGAATATATGTACTACATTTCATGGCACTCCAGATAGTCTGGACCTACAGCGTCACTAAAAAATACTATCGTAACTTTTTTTTAAACTTTGTTTTGCACAGTGACCCTGTGGTCTGCAGAATAAACACTGGCCGCTAGTCTGAGCCATCTGAAGTCAACATGGTGAATCCATGGATGTATTGTGAATATTCATATGTGTTTCGAACTTCTGTTGGATTTGAATGTACAGTGTTTTGGCCTAAAATTAAATACCTTAATTCTGGAATCTGTGTCCGATTATCTGTTTTTTAGCAGCTGGCAGCACTGAATGAAGAGCAATAATACGGTGCTGCTGTCTTTTAGGAAGCTCCAGACTCTGGTTTCTGATTGCTCCGTGCAGGTTTTAGGTTCAGCTACTGACGACGCTCACGACATGAAAACAAGCAGACGCAAATTGGCGAACGTCCTGCTGAGTCTCAGTAACAGGCGGCAGGAACATAATTTGCTACAATTTTTCACTTATCAATCAAGACTCTGTAGCTGGTTTAGTGTTTTCATCAATAATTCAGAGGCCAAATTATTTCAGATGTGAATCCTCTGTGAGGACTCTGGAGCCTCGATCCTGCTCCGCTCAACAGCAGCACAACAGCTGACTTTACGCACAGACATTTTAACTGTATCACCCTGGAAACTGCAGGTCAGAGCCTCATCTGTCCCTGACTTTTATTTGAATATTACAGATAAGTCCTGTATGTATTTAATTGCGTGAAGTGCTTATTGCGGTGGATTATGTTCTTAAAAATGTATATAATGCAAGCCTTTTTTATTCTCCCACCCTGATGAAGACTTGTGTCTGTCGCAACACATTGGTAATTTTAAATACACGTTGAACACAAAAAGCAGGTTGCTTTAAACAATAAAGGTGTAAGTAAAAGACGGTCGAAGGCTTCGCTGCTTGTTTTAGCTGCAATCTGAGCAGGCTGTCATCAGATAACACTCAACCACACTAACAGAAGGTGTGGAGGCGTAGTAGAAAGTGTAATCTGATTAAACCAGCTGCAGAGGACATCCTGTGAAACACAACACAGAGGAAACGAGGGCAAAGTTTGAGCCTGCAGCCTCCTCTACAGTGTGTCTGAGACAGCTGTCCCAGCATGCACTGGGTGAGGACAGATTCACAGAAACGGGACATCTTCCCTCGACAGACAGTATTTAGCGTGCGAGGAGGGAATCAGTGGACTAGTCCACACTCTGAATCCGTTGTCACAAGGTTTAAAAAGAAAAGAAAAAAGTTCTGCCATTCAGGCTGAATTAGGTCTGGATTGGATTTTACAAGAGTTCAGTTCCCAGTTTCAGCACAACTTGTACCTTTAAAATCCCGAAAAATATTAAAACTATGCGATAACAGGTGGGCGGTGAACTAATGTGAATTTGAGCACATAGCGTTAAAAATCTAGTAAAATATTGTAAAATCATGCGTTTGCTCCTGTCTCCAGATGATGGTCGCTACAGTATCTGACAATATAACTGATTTTCCAATCCCAACAAAATTAATCTTACAGTCAATATCTATTATTAAAAGCTGCACTAATCAATGTTTTTTATATGCTAATAAATTACTTGTTTAATGTGAACGGTCCACAGAAAACTATCACATGACTCTGCAGTCCCCTCAGCTCTACGGAGCTTTTTAACCCTTTTGGGCTACTTTTTGCATTCAAAACCTTACTTAAGTGTTATCAGTAAAATGTAAGTAAAGTATGAAAAGTGGAAGTATTAATTGTGCAGTAAAAGTAAAGTGTTTCCAGTGTTTTACAATTATATATGATGTTTCTGGATTAATATTTAATGTTGCATCAATGTGTTTGTTACATTTGAGTGCTTTAAATGTTTAAGGTTGTGCTATTTTTAACTCCTTTATGCACAAAAGGGTAGTTTAATCTACAGCGATGCGTCATATTCTATAAGATCATATGTTTGTTATGTATCTTTACAAAGTCAACTTTTCATGAGCTCAGAAAAACAGCTTTCAGCTTTGTGACAATGCATGTTCCATCTGATCCAAGAGTTTTTTTTAAACTGTTAATTTAGCTTAAAGTTAACCCACATAGTAACACTTCATCCTTCAGTCTATCACAAACATTCAAAAACATCTCACACGTGGTTTACACTGGAAGGGAAGGGGATGAAACATGTAGAGTTCCCACTGAGATGTAGTGGAGTGGAAGTATTAAGTCCCATAAAATGGAAGTACTCAAGTTAAGTACAAGTACCTCAAATGTGTACTTTAATACAGTGCTTGATGTACTTCTATCGAGGCTGTAGCATTAACAGGGGGGCGGGGCTTCGGCTCCGTACTTTAGGACCGCGCGGACACCACCGTAGCTCCGAGTTTCTGTGACGTCAGGACAGTGCTGCTGCTGCTTATCGGCAGGTCAAGAAAGAGAGATGGCGGCGGATGAGAACAGGTTGAAGCAGCGGAATCACAAAAACAGCATCTTCAAAGAAGGTACTTATACACACATACCGAGAGTAGAAATTATGTTACCCATGCGACAGATGACAGCGATAGGTTTCTGAATACGTGCCTCTCCACCGGTTGTTCTGTAGACGGTAATGGAAATGACACGTCGAATAATCGCCTCTCCCGCGGTATAAATATAATTTAAAAACATCGTAGTGACATTGTCTTTTTGAACCTAACGTTACATCGACTTATTCCCGCTGTGTGCGGTGTGTAGTCACGGAGCAGCCGGTGTGGGGCGTCTTGTTTAAGCCGCCCAGCTTGTCCGTGGTCCTCACCTTTCAGAGCTGGATGTGTGTTTGTTGTTAGCCGATGAGCTAACCTAGCTGCTAGCCTCTTCGTGCTAGTTATTTATTGTTCTGTTTTCTAAGAGCTGTTACGCGGCTCTGTCAAAATCTGGTAGATTGCAGCTAACGCTAAGCTAGCTGCTGTTGCCTAGAGTTTGGTAACAACGTGGAGCAAGCTAACTTCACTTGTGGTGTAATCTCATTTAGGCTATCGCACACATCACAGGTGGAAACCGGTATTTTTAACAAAACATGCTTGTGAAATTAAGCTGTGAGCTAACGTTACATAATTATAAGCCAGTATATTTACCTTAACACCAACTCCATTCAAGGAATGAGTAGTTAAGCTAACTTCCCTCTCCTGTTGGCAATGACTAATTACCCCTTAAATCGACCTCCTGTTGGCAATGACTAATTACCCCTTAAATCGACCTCATTTTAGGATTATTAGTCAACTCACAAGTAGACTTGTTAGCTGCAAGCCGTCAAACTCACTCTACCATATTCTGTTATGGTGTTAACTTTGGAGTGTTGTTGGAGTATGTTTGACTGGGTCTCAGCCAGTACTGCTGATCCATTAAAGCTGTTGAACACAGGTGTATGAAGTTTACCTGGACTACACAAATTAGGTGCTGCTGCTTGTGTTGTTGCAGATGTAGAGCGCTCCATTGAGCTTTGTGTGGAGAGAACTGCACGCTATGTGCTAAGACCAAAGTGGGGCATAAACCGAGTCATGTGGTGGATACATAACTGTACTGGTGTGGTTATCCTCTTATTTAAGATTCACATTTTAGAAGTCTAAATCTCTCCAAATGGCACAATATTGCTGCAGAATGGAGGATTTTCACTAGATGCTGACATACAGACGTTTACGGCTCTTGTTGTATGCCAAATGAAATCGGATATTTTCACCCTTAAACTAGCAGATTTGTGAATGTGGTTTGTTGTGTAATGTCTCTTCCTACACAAGGATTGGTAGCACTATAGGGCCATGTGTCAGATACAATGTTAGGGGGCATGTAGAGGAGTCATTAATGTATCTGAAACTGTTCTGGGACAGTTAGTCCTTTTTCCAGATCCACATTTTAAAACTGGAACTGTCCTGACTGTAAATCACAGCTGCAGTTTGAGGAAGAACTGCAGTTTTGCCTCATTAAACTTCAATCTAAAACTTCTAAATCTGAAGTTGTGTGTTCTTGTATGTTCATTAAGTCGTTGACCCGCACCCTATACGTGAGTGTCTTCCAGGGCCAGGAGAGTATGCCTATCTCTTGATAGGAATGCAGTCAGACCAGCCTGTGTGCTGCTGATGGGTGTAGTCTAATGATGCAGTGATTTGACCTCTGTTATGGAAGTTAACCGATGTGAAATAACTAGACAGGAATCCACTGATCAGCTTGAGCTGTTTGATAAGCAGGAACATGTGCTTATTCACCTATGAAGTGTGCAGCGTTGCACTTCGGGGAATGTTGAACCATCGTACCAGAGGCTTGAAATGTACTCGAGGTATAACCCATGAGATCAAATCTGTTTGACAAAACAGGCATTTAAACTTATTTTTGACAACTGCAAATCTATCAACATTTATTTTTTAAGCAAGCATGCGTAGCTATGATGCGTTGAAGTGCGTGTCCTTAAGTCTGATACTCGCGAGTCACGTTCATCATCATCATCATCGTCATTATAGCCTAACATCACAAATCGTTTAGGACCGTTTCAGCTCTACACTGCATCTCTGTTCTACGCTGTGGAAGTATTCATCCTCAGGCAGCTCATGTGCTCAACAGAGAGAGCGCTGGGACATCGAATTTACCGGATCACTGCTCCTCTTAAAAGCCTCAGTTAAAGAACGCATCACCCAAAAGGCGTCCCAAAACAGTTTTTTTTATGTGGACTTGTACATTATTTACGGCCTCTCCTCTGGATGATTTGACTGTGTTGCTTGCTGGATGTGGCCGTGTTTACGCAAATCTTTGCAGCTTGTTTCAGACCAGTGAGCTAGAGATGACAAAACATTTTGTTTCCCTCTGACCTATCGGATGAGTTGATAATCCTCCTGAAATATCCAGATTTCTGTAGGTCGTTGAAGTGTAACTGCTGCTGTACAAGGAGAGCTGAAGGCCGTACTATTCCTCTGTAGAACAGTGACTGATGGCTCCGTCTATTTACTGTAAACCTCCAGACAGCTCTGCCATCCCATAATGGCAGTGATTCCGTCCTCTCCAGTGAAGCTTCACTAACTGGAGGAGGTCGGGGAACTTTTTTTTTTTTTCTGTCCAACAACCGCTGTTGCTTCTGAACATCAGAGTTTATTAATCCCTGAAGGGAAACTCGGCCATCATGACTGCAGCGTGCACTCTGATGCACTCCACTTTAAAGTGTTTTTAATAGAGCTGAGCACCAAGGTGTCAATGAACTATCTTTGTTTCTGTTTGTCATGACAATTTATTTATATTTTGGAAGAGGTTAGGAGACATGTCCAGAACAGCGGTCACGTTTTTCCACCTCAAAAACCAGATGTGACGAATGATAAATGTGTTAGGAAGGGTTTTGTTCTTCCGGTCAAACTTTACGCGCAGCTTTCCCTCTCAGGTGGCCACGGGTTTGACTCCGACACGTCCCCGATGAGGCGCCAGGAGGAGGAGGAGGAAGCCGACCTTCTGGAGGAGGAAGATGTTGGCATGGCCCGGCCGGTGCAGATCGTGGTGGCGGATGAGGAGGAGCACTCGTTCTCGCTGCAGGAGGAGGCGCTGGAGCGGCTGCTGCTGCAGGAGGAGGTGCGGGACCTCCAGGTGGTCGTCGTCTCCGTGGCCGGAGCTTTCCGCAAGGGCAAGTCCTTCCTGCTGGACTTCATGCTGCGCTTCATGTACAAACAGGTAAAGGAGGTCTTGTTAAACATGTCTCTTCTGAGTCAGTTCATAAATAAAAAAGTGTTTCTAATAAATATCCAGTTCTGCCTTTTGAGAATTTCTTGATCTTAGGGAGATTTTAAATTGGGCAAAATGTCACGAGTGAGTTTCTATGTACTGTTACTGATTTACACACACATACTGCGCACTGCTGCTGCTTGCTTTCCTGGTTAGATGCTGAACTGTATTGTTGTCTCGGGGTACTTGAACGCTGTGCAATGACAAACTTGAATCTAATCTGAAAATGTCTTGAGTGAGACTCGCGACTGAGTTATGGGTTCATTTCAGTCATGCATTAAAGCTCATTTTTGACAAAAACAATCCCAACTCGTGGTCCACTTCCTGTGTTTCTGTAGCTTCTAACTGTATCTCCATCCTACATCAGTGGATGCAGTATGTTGACAGACACGTTCAGTAACTATTATAACTCAACGAGGACTTCTCTACTGTCACCAAGTATCTTAATCCAACACTTGCACGCCCATGTGTCCTCTGAAAGAGTTGTTTGTGGCTGTGGTCGTTCCTGCGGCCTCTACTCCCTTTGAAGAGATCCTAACAGGACTACCCTGTGAGAGACCGAGGACATAAGCTGCAGTCCTCACTCTTACATTCAGCTGAAACTAAGCCGCCTTCAACTTGTTTCAACGTAATCCATGTGGGCAACATGCACCTCGAGGTGGGATTGTCTTCTCAGACATTTTCAGTCGTGTTTCTCTGGTGCTTTCCATCAAGTTATAAAAGATCTGATAATTAGATTAGATGCTGGTATCAGACTGTGTTGTTTGTCTCCATTGTTACATGAACTATAGAAACAACTGTCCTTTCAGGGTTAATGTTGGTTACTAACTGTGAGGCTTTGAGATTTCATAAGAACAGGATCAGTAGACGTTTGTCAATGCAAAATGAAATCGATGACGGTATTCATCATTTCATTGGAACTCCTTTTTGGCTGAGAAACAAATATTTTTTTGCGGTCCCGTCATCGAACCCTGCGGCATAAAATCCCGGTTCTGTTTGAACCGGTGACCACGGAGTGCACGTGTGTTGGTCTGTGACCCGACCTTTGGCCGCGTTAATCTACGGTAAGCGGCAAGGAACATTCCGGAGGTTTTCACGAGGCTGTGAAGAGGATTTTTAGGTCGACACAATGGCGGCTCTGTGACCGGGCCTCCGCAGAGGTCACTGCTGCTGATTCCACACATAAAGGCCATCTTTATGCATAACATTAGCCCCGCCCACTCAGGTCAGGTCATGGTAGGGTTGTTTTTTTACACGCAGGTGTCGAGGAGTGAGACTGTTCAGAAGCTTTTTCGCGTTTAAGCTGATGACTACACATATTAATAATAAGGGGTGGATGACGATGTACATCATGAGAAGATTTGTCAACTGTCAGATTTTTCTTGTTACCATGGAAGTTATACCTTTCATATGTATTGGTTTGTATTATAACTAATGTTGCAAATCAGTGAGCCATATGATAAAGTATCTTTATCATTTGATTTACTGAATTACAGTAAAAGTAGAAACTTGTCTGTATCCCGATGTGTATTGATAACCTGATCAAATATATTGTCAGACTATGATGTAATTCATATTACTCTCTCCTACTAACATCAGCTCTTATTAACTTCCTTCCTGGTACTCACTGAGATCTGTCGGTCAACATTTAACAACTTAAGTTCCTGTTTAAAGCTGCTGTAAGTTAAAGGACGGGTTCCTTTAAAGTCTGACTTAATGCAAAACTGAATAATATCTGCATATCTCTTCAAAATGCTACGTCTGGAATATCTAAACCGGATGTAAGCCGTTCACATAGACCTGCATCAAATTCTGAATAGTAGTGGAATATTGTTGTGCATTTAAACGTAGTCCCAGAAACAAATGGAGGACAAAATCTGACCAGTAGCTTTCAAAATAAGCTCAAGATCTCTGCAAGGTGATTTCTACCAGGTATAGAAATAAAGTGGAAACCCAAAGGGGGGAGGAATAAAGAGAATGGATAAAAGCATTTTTTTTTTAGTACATAAAATAACTAACCTAAAAACCAGGATAGCAAGGAGAGAGAGTGTCTGTGATTTTCAACATAACAACCTCCTGTTTGACAGTAAATGTTGTTCATCACATGAAGTAAATAACGTGCTCTCCGCATGTCATTTCATTCTGGATTTGAGGCTTAGATTCTGAATGTAATGTTATTGGAGCAGGAACCGTGCCGTGACCTCTCCGCCCTCTTGTCCCTGTCCAGTCGGATTCGTGGGTCGGCGGTGAGGAGGAGCCTCTGACCGGCTTCACCTGGCGAGGCGGCTGTGAGAGGGAGACCACGGGCATCCTGGCCTGGAGCGAGGTGTTCGTGGTGGAGAAACCAGACGGCTGCAAGGTCAGTTCACGGGCCGACCCCAAGCGAGCGCCCCCTGAACGCCAATATGTGGTCTCATTCACTCACCGAGAGAGCGCTTTATTCTTCTGAGTCACGGTGGTATCGTTCTAAACCACAAATGCACACATCCACACTTCCACATAAACTTGCGGGAAGGTGCCGGATTTTAAGTGAATGCAGCCGAAAACGCGCTTCGTCCTGCTGCAGTGAGGTCTGTGGGACTCCGTACGACGAGGAGCGGGACAAAGCGGTGGCGTTTGACCTGCGAATGAGAACCGGCTGTACTGTCTGCTTATTGGCCGGTTGTCACACCTCCACATGCGATCCAAATTCTCTTTGCCGACGCCCAGAAGAGTCCTGAAGACGGCAAAATGGGAAGAAAAGAGAAAGTACAGACCGAGCCACACTTGTAGTGGGTCATAAGTGATGATTGAGAGGGGTTATATTGATATCGGTCTATACATTGTTTTTTAGTTGTTGTTGTTCTTGCAGGTTGCAGTTCTACTAATCGACACTCAGGGAGCGTTTGACAGCCAGTCAACCATCAAAGACTGCGCCACCCTGTTCGCCCTGAGCACCATGACCAGCTCTGTTCAGGTCAGCTGTGATTCGTGTGTGTGGATTTTTAAAAGTGATGAAGGACTTAGTGTGATGGCTGACCAGGTGAATAAGTGTGTGTGTGTGTGTGTGTGTTTCAGGTGTACAACCTGTCCCAGAATGTCCAGGAAGACGACCTGCAGCACCTCCAGGTCAGTAATCAGCCTGCAGACTCCATGAGCATCGAGTAGAAAAAGATTATTTATTGGTAGATCTGTAAAATGTATCCAATAATTCGAGCTTTATGTAACTCCCGATGACATGATGTGTGCAGCTGGAGGGTTACTGTCTCCACCGCTGTGTGCACCACAAAACTACCGTGCAGCGTGTACATTTGACCGCCAACAATGGTTTATGTGAGACTGATCGATAGGTCACCGATCAGCTGACCTCTCTAATAATAACCATCTTGTCTTATTGTGTGTGTGTGTGTGTAATCTTGAGATTCTAAAAACAAGAGGGGCGGTTCCTTGGTGGTCTTATGGATCCTTTATTGGGTTCCCTTTGGTCTGTCAGTCATGTGCATTTCAGCCATGCGTGTCAAATCCTTTTTGCACCACCGCTATCAAAGCTGTCTCCGTGGTTTTTGTTAAGATTGTTTAACACGGTTGGGTGAAATTGGTAACCATTTGTCCAGTTCAGGTCAGTTATTATTTCCTCCTGATGACGAGGCCTCCGACTGCTCTCACTGCCTTACAGACCAGCTGTATTTTGATTTCTAGTCCAACAGATTAGCTGCAGCATTTCTGTTTTTAAAGCTCATCGTCTGGTGAGTGAAGAGCTCCATATCAGGTGTTCGTGATGTGTTCAGGTCAGGATCAACTTGCTGAACTAAACCCAGAGGCAGGCTGCCATATGAGGCAGAGAGCCTGACGGGAAGTCTCTCACCGTGGAAAGTTCTCTTCCATCTTTGGTCCCAAGTTCTCATCACGCCGTCAGTCAAACAGTGAGTGTGGGGTCTTTTGGAAAGAAGCGGCTGAATGAGGCAGCAAACATCAGTCAGGCCAACTCCAACTGAGCTTTTCTTTCTTTTGTATACCAAACTAAATGAAATCTTTATATCTGCAGCAGCTCAAAAGACTGTTTAGATGGCCGGTGTTCAGAGCAGCAAATGGAAAAGCTTTCATGGACCGGATCAATCGGAAAGACATAAGCACACATTCGTCCTCCACGAACTGAGCTTCATGGCTGTGTTGTGATGTTTGATTCGATTTTTAGTGGCTGCTTGTTTTCTCTCCTCAGCTCTTCACGGAGTACGGACGACTGGCCATGGAGGAAGTCTATGAGAAACCCTTTCAGGTGTGATCTGCTAACCACGGTCCTGTCCTCATTATAGTCGGTTAGATCTTTAGAAACATTCTTTACCTTCTGACACGTGAGAAACGCAGTCTTCGAATGACTAAATGAGACTTTCTTAATTGACAGATTCTCTTCAGTTTTAAGAAACTTATCAATCACCACGTGCTTGATCATGTCCACCGTCTTAGTGTGAGCTGTTTTAGATGCTCCATCTTAAAGGGGTAGTTCAGGATATTTGAAGTGGGATTGTATGAGGTCCTTATCCATAGTCTGTAGATGGCGGTACCAGCACAGAGGCAAAGGCCTGTACTGCTGCAGCAAAACGTATTCCAGCCACCAAAACATAAAATAAAATAAAATCAATGTTGGTGTGTGTGCTGTATTTTGAATATTTTCACAGCGTCACCTTGCCGTCGGACCGCCCTCTCCAGCGGCGAACTGAAGCAGTTATTTCTGCGGTCTTCAAAGCCACCAGACTCCATTCACAAAAACAGTAATTCAACCTCGCACAACAGGGGAGTTGCTTGTCTGCCACAGCTGCAGTCAGTTGGTTCGTTTGTGTCATTGTGTGACTTTGGTGAATCCAAACAAACTATCGGATGGAGGCAGCGGTAGACCAGAACCTCCCGTGTTATGAGAGGTAAAATTACTGTTTTTGTCGAGTCAAAGATAACTGCTTCAGGTCGTCGTTGGAATGGGCTCTTAGACGGCAAGTTAAAGCGGTGAAAGTATTCTAAATATAGCGTAAACTTATACTGAATTACATTTTTTGCTGCTGCCCCAGTCCACAGCGGTATATTGCTTGTTTCTCCAAACTGTGGGGGGGGGCTGACCGCCATCTATTGTGGTAATATACAGAAGTACCTCATACTACCATACTACCACACTTCAAAATATCCAAAGTATCCCGTACGTTTCTGCAACTCTTAATTATGTTGCAAACAATCTGAAGCTGGAATACTTTTGAATAAGTGTTCTTGTTTGTCTTTTCAATGATCTGTGATCTGTGGTGGATCCTGGATCAATAAGCTGAATGTGTCCCTCTGTTCAGAGTCTGATGTTCCTGATCAGAGACTGGAGTTACCCCTACGAACACCCATACGGTCTGGAGGGAGGACTGAGCTTCCTGGAGAAGCGGCTGCAGGTTAGTTTCTGGCCTCCTGGCGACAAATGCTGTTCTACCAAAGGCTGATTTTTAACATCTCCAGACTGATGATCGTTGTCTGTGATCAGGTGAAGCAGAACCAACACGAGGAGCTGCAGAACGTCAGGAAACACATCCACTCGTGCTTCTCGAACATCGGCTGCTTCCTGCTGCCTCACCCTGGCCTCAAGGTGGCCACCAACCCTCACTTCGACGGGCGGCTCAGAGGTGAGACCCTAACGCAGGCACGACTAGTCCGGTCAAAACAAGACCGGTTTTGTGACGCTTTGTTTGTTTGTGTGTGTGTGTGTCTCAGATATTGATGAGGAGTTCAAGAAGGAGCTGGTGAACCTCGTTCCGACGCTGCTCTCTCCAGAAAACCTGGTGGAAAAAGAGATCGGAGGAGTCAAAATCACCTGCAGAGAGCTGCTGCACTACTTCAAAGTGAGTTCATCCTGATTGAAAGCTCTAGAAAAAGCCAGTAAGTGGACCTTGAGTTGGGAGTGTTTCTCTCACAATTAGTTTTGCAGCTTTACTGAGCTCTCTTCAGCTTTTTATTTGGTGGTAAACTGGTCGTGAGTTCACATCTCGGATAACATCAGAATGTAAAGTTTGTGTCTTTTTGAATTTCGTCTTTTTGTAAATGTTTTTTATGATCCCAGAAAGAGTTTAGACTCGGACTCCTGATTGTTTCTCATCTGTCCGTTGTGTTTTCAGGCTTACATGAAGATCTACCAGGGAGAGGAGCTTCCTCACCCCAAGTCCATGCTGCAGGTCAGCTCCGCTCATACACAATATAATGACGATAATGTTGCTGTGGAACAGCGCCGCCCGCTGGACAGTTTACATCATGAGATTTATTCCAAAGAAACGCATCCTGGACAATCCTTTTTTCAAACCTCAGAACTGTTGTTTTCTCTGTATTATTATCGTTCTTCTTCCTCTCACTGTGGCTCAGACATGTTTATGTACGAGTCGACACATTTATGAGAGTAATATATATTCTGTTTGCAACGACTGTGTATCCATCAGAGCAGACCGGAGCACATCTCAGTTCTCGTAAAAGGACTGTTTATCTGTAATGATTGTGTTCAATCTGTTTTCTAGGCAACAGCTGAAGCAAATAACCTTGCAGCTGTAGCCGGAGCCAAAGACTTGTACAACAAAAGCATGGAGCAGGTAATGCATCACAACCTGGATATCAGAGGTCCAGGATTTGGTTGATGAAGTACTTTCAGGTTTTTGATGAGATCTTGAGGTGTGCGATCTGGTTCCGTTTGCAGGTCTGTGGCGGAGACAAACCCTACATTTCCCCAGGGGAGCTGGAGCGCCGTCACGCGGAGCTGCGTCAGGCGTCGGTAAAACAATTCCGCTCCGTTAAGAAGATGGGCGGCGAGGATTTCTGCCGGCGCTACCAGGAGCAGCTGGAGGCGGAGCTCGACGTGGCCTACGCCAACTACGGCAAGCACAACGACGGCAAGAACATCTTCTTCGCCGCGAGGACACCCGCCACGCTGTTCGCCGTCATCTTCATCATGTACGTGGTGTCGCTGGTCACGGGCTTCGTGGGCATCAACTCTGTGGCCACGCTGTGTAACCTGGTGATGGGCGTGGCTCTGACGGCGCTCTGCATCTGGGCTTATGCCAAATACTCTGGAGAGTTCCGCGAGGTCGGAGGAATCATCGACCAGGTGGCTGAAACCCTCTGGGAACAGGTGAGAGGATGGGCCTCGTGTGTTTTCACCTGTCCGTGCTCGCCTCTAGTCTTCCTGTCAACCCTCGTCTTCGTGTCCGTCCTCGCCTCTCGTCTTCGTGTCCGTCCATCTGCATCTCTTTAGTTTCAGTCATCAGCGACTCTGAAAGCTCCTTTTAATCTACTGAGACTGTCGCTTCTAAAAAGCTGAAGTGAGTGAATTTCCATGAGGGTTATTATCATAAACTAAAACAAGAATAAGCAGTTAATACTATTGTGGTAAACTAAATACAAAAAATATCCTTTAAGAAAGAATAAAACTAGCTGCTTCTAAAAACACATGTATCATATCATCTACCTGAATGCTCAATCGGTGAAAAATAAATTAAGATTTGTAAGGAGTAGAATCCTTTGACTTAATGAAGCTCTTATAACAGACTAATGGTGAATAGATCGGGCAAATTGAAAGATTTCAAACCAACTAAACCTTGTGGGGGAAAAAACTACATTTTGTAAAACAAGGCTTTAGTTTTTTTCGTCAAAGCATTTGTGACTGAATTCAGCCGTTCTGCTCTCCTCTTAAAACAACTAATGGAAACTTTAAACTGATTGTTGATTCACTTCAACACATTTCTGTCAACCTTCTCATATTCATCCTCCTATTCATCCTCCTCTTCCTCTAATCCTTCCTCTTTGTTTTTCTCTCTCAATGCCTCCAGAGGACTCCACGAAAGGTATGTTTTAACAACCTGTACGGGTCCCTTAGTTTGGTCCAGTTGCAGAAAAAGATCCTCAAACAATTTAAGGACCTAATAATAAGACTTCATCAAACGCATCAGATAAAACTAGACGGGCTACGCTGGATTGATCTATAGACATGGTGCATCCCAGGTCAAGGGACGCAATGCTAAAAGACGTAAAGTCAGATTTCTATACGATAGAACTGTCGTCTGCATAACTGCGAACAAAGTGAATGTCAGGATGACAGACTTCCAGAAATATAACGGGGCTTTATGGAAACGAAATGTTCTGCAGTGTTAACAAACTGTGAAAACACCCAAAATTGTTCATTTTAAAGTACAGTTAAATAATCCTTTTATTTTCCAGAACTATCACAGTAAAAGCACCCCTCCTCCTGACCTCCTTCTCCTCCTCTTCCTCCAGGTTTTCTCCAAACTCTTCGAAGTGGCTCGGAGTCGAGTTCCGTTGGGAAGCCTGATCCCGGCGCCGCGGCCCCGGCTCGCCTCGAACAACAACGTCAAGAAGAAAAACTAGCGGCACGCCATCTCGTTCCCGTCACCTTTATTCCTCCTCTCCCTCACCTCTCTGCTCGGTTTTCAAACACTTTTTTTTTTTTTTTTTTAGGACGGTTTGAGCCGTGTAAATGAGGTTTTGTTCTCGGACCGTAGATGAAGGGTCCTCACCGTGCTGGCTGTAGGTTTAAAGACTCGCCGTAGACCCCGGATGAAGCAGTGTGATGTATTTTATTATTTTTCAGTGGGCGGGGTTAAGGTATTTATTGGTGGGCGGGGCCATTTTTCAATCACAGAGTGTCATCCTAAGTGTGTGTGTGTGTGTGAGGCAAACGATTCCCATTCATGTGAATGTATGAATGAAGTGCATGACCACAGACCCTCCTCACAGTTCCCCTCCCCCCTCCTGTCGGTTTCTGTCGCTGGGCGGCGTCACGAGGAGTCGCAACCAAAGTTTACAGCTTTACTCATAGGAGGCTCTCAGACTGAGCGGACTGACAAACGGGCAGGAAACTGCAGCTGACCCAACGTTTTTAGGACTTTGAAAAAAACGGTTTCGGGGAAATTTTTACAGTTTTTCTTGCGTAACCAGAATCACAAACTCATGGATGCGTCTCCACGTTTCTGTGCAGGCTGAGAGTGTGTTGAGCAGTTGGACTGGTCCAGTGGGCTCCACTCAAAAGTAGACAAACACGCCTCCAGATGTGAGGACGTCTTCAACTCTGCAAACGTGTTTATGGTCGTTTTTAAAATGAAATGAAAGAAATTTATCGAGTGTGGGACACAGTCGAAAGCTCACAGAGTAAATGTTAGCTTAGCATTACTCGGTTTTCGTCTGGTTTTAAACTTACTCTGCTGTGGGATCAGAAAACAGGAAGTGGCTGTGATCAGTATATCATATTTCGTCTTTTAAATACTAACTATGTAAGTACAGAAATGACGTGAGTGTGTAGTTAAATTCGAGTCCACAGGAGTTAAACTGTGGGGGCAGTCGTTTCGAGCTCCTGTGAATTTGCTACATTATTATAACGAACATCTTTTTATACAAACAATATTTTCACTCTGCATTTTCAAAAACATCAGAAAACACAATTACGTGTCATTGAAGCTAATCGTGAGTCCAACTTATTTCAAGTGAATACACAGGATCCAGATCCTTCGACGGGACTCTTCCTCCAGCAGAAAGTTACCGTTTAAAACCAGACGTCTGAGTTTGTCCGACTCTGTGAAAGTAGAACTGTAAGTAAAATAAGCTAAATTTCCCCCAAAACCTGCTGACCCTTGACGTAGCAAGCTGAACGTTGATTTGAATATCTTATCCTGATTGATCGTTATTTTCAGTGTTAAACCTTTTTGTTTTTATTTATTAGTTTTACGTAAAAGTTACACATTTCTGGGAGACGTTCCGATGGATCTCACGTCTGGAGTCGGCCGATTAGGAACTACTTCTTCACTGACAATTTATCATTCCGCCACGGCTCCAACTTTGTACTTAATTTATATTGATCTCCAAAAAAACAAAAGGAGTAAGTAAATACTATGAACTATTCCTCAAGTCTTCAAAGATCTCTGGATTATTTTGTGAGATCATGCTTCTAAACTTTAACCTGGTAGTTCATGATGAAGGTCTGACTGCCGGCGTTTCAGAGAGTCAAGCTTTTAAAACATATACATATATAAATTTCCAGTTCAGCTGAGACCTTTTTGTAGATGATGTATAATTCTGTTGTTTAACTTGAGTGTTATTCCCTCGCTGTCATTCCTCGTCTTTGTTTTCATCTCGACGAATCTGAAGGACTGAACCACCTCATCTTGTTTTTAAAGCACCACACGTCGTTTAGTAAAACACTAAAGATCATTTCATCGCCCACATTTAAATATGAACACTTTTTAAAGCCAAAATCGGATGAATGAAAGGTTCATTCCAAACATCAACGCATTGTCCTATTTTCTTCATTTAAGTATCATTCCATCCACAACAAACATCACCACTGTGTGCTTTTGTTTTTGTACAGTTCAGTTTTTTACAGCCTCATCCGCACATAGGGCATGTGTATGAATTATATACATATATAAATATAAATTTTCTAGACCTTTTTGTAGCTGGAAGAACAAAGGTTTGGGTGGTAGACCAGATTCAGCTCACTGGATGTAAAGGAATGCTTTCGTGATTTGTGGATATGTCTAATAAATTCCTTTTTTTATATATATATTTGTAAATTAATCTTACATGAGCACTGCGATTCCACCCCCTGCTGGCAAAGAATGTTTATAATCTGGATCTTTTTTTTTTTTTTTTTTTTTTTTTTTTGTCTTCTGTTGCTTTTAAAGTTATTTTCGTTAATTTATTTTTCAATACAATATTAAACCAAACTCCTACAACAGAGTGGTGTCGTCCAGTTTTTGAATGTTTTGTTTTTATTGTGTAGTTTTCTGGAGGGATATTTTAATCCCTAGAGGGCGCTGTGCACTGGGTTTACAGGGTCACGTCTAGTTGGTACCCCACAATATGCAAAAGTCTTGCGGGATGTTAAAGGTTCGGTATCGACGTTGAATGTTCAAGGGTAGCCATTGACCTCCAATGTTCAAGGGAAAATCGGGGCCGAAGTCGTGTAGTGTGAGCTAGCCATTTATCAAAGCAGACAAATCAATATAGAAAGCAAGCTATTGTTAAAGTAAGGAGATACTAAATATCTTCAGAATTTTGCGCGATGCTAATTTACCCATGGAGTATTTTGGTGGTAAAATATTGTCAGGGTAAGGTTTTAGCGCGCTAACAAAGTAGATTCTGCTAACATTAGCATGCTTGTAACAGGAATGCCTCTTATTTTGATCGTCTTTCCTGATTTGTGGGCATTCTAAGGTTAATATGTTAACATTTTTTTAACATGTTAGCATGCTTGGGTTCACGCTTCTTTTTTTTTTTCTTTTTTTTTTTAATCACTTGTTTGGTAAAGTAAAATGTTTTTGCTGAAAAGGCAAATGTAGCATGCTGATAAAAGCAAAGGTGTACTGTAGACCTTTTAGCCTTAAAGTTTAGGAACGGCCCTATTTGGCAATTAAAACGCTGAACATGTGAAGTAGAATGGGTCGAAATTAAATCTGCCACATAACCCTCCTTTAGAAACATCACTTGATGCAAACTGGAAGGAAGACTCGTGACTTGACTTCAGCCATGATGACTCGAATGGCTGCGTTCATTTTGTTTTCAGTTTAAATGTTAAAGATAAAATAATTGTCAACAGGTTAGATAAATTGGTCAATATCATTATTAGACGGGTCTTAATTTGCCTCTGCTTAAAGTTCAGTATAACATATTTAAACATTGTATGTCTATCATGTTGTGATTGGGCCTCTAATCTTTCTCGACAACCATTTCATTGATTTTGATTAGACAGAAAATGGACATTAAACGTTCGTAAAGCTGGAGATGTTTGTATAAAAAATAACATGTTAAAACAAATTATAAATCGTTTTTAAAAGTTTGCACAAGTTTCCCATTTTGTGTATATTCAAATGTTTTTACAAATCTTTGTTTCAAGTTAAATTTTTGAATGTCAGGATTTTTCAACATTAATTCAGAAAACAGTGTTTTACTTTTTGTTTAAAATCAGTCTTATTCCCTTTTATGCCGTTGGACAACTCTTTGGTTGTTTCAAGTTGCCTTTTAGATTGTTTCTAGAATCTTATTTTATCACTATTCAATTATCTCTGAGAAATAAAATTTTTAAAAAAAAGTATCGTGATTTAGTTTAAATCTGGTTTTATCTATTTATACTTTTCTGTGACTGTCACCGTTATTAATATTTAGTTTAGTCTGTTTTACTTTTAATGTATCGAACTATGGATCGTTTATCCAGTTACTGATATATTCACTTACGTTATTGATAGAAATAGTGAAAATCTAGTGACCATAGATTTATTTGTTTTGTATAATCATCTTCTGAGCATCTGATCACAACAGTTATAACTAACTTAATTATTTTAGACATGTTTAAAGGAGATTTAAATGTCCCCTGTGCTCATTAAAAAGATTAACTTGAGTTGATCATTCAAGATAAAGATCTGCCGTTAAATATCTCCTAACATTCACAATTACCCCTTAATCTTCATATATTCTGAGTTACGCAATCTAAAATGATTATGCTCGAGTCTGCTTTTAATCTGTGATGCTAGTCATGCGGTTTTTATTAATGTCATCCATCTGCCTTGTTTTTATTGTTTGTTTTTATCATGTAAAGTTCCTTTGAGTACCCTTTAAAGCACTATACAAATAAAAATATATTATTATTACGGTTTCACTAAAAGACTGAATGCAACAGAGCAGATGCACCACCAGATGGCAGCAGACTGATTTAAGAAGCCATCGTAATAACAATATTATTCCATAATCATTTGTTGTATTAATAGAAATTACAGCAGAGTAATTATCTCTATACAGGTATTAATATATAGAAATATTATAGGACCATACAGTGATTTAATGGGAAAGTAATTGGGAAAAACACAGATATAAGTTACAATATATAGTCTGAAGGTCAGGTGGAAGGAACACGGCTCAGCTCCCGGCAGAAACGTCTCCTCTTTTTGCGCCAGGAGCAGAGCTTCGTCCTCGCTGCTCCGCCGGTCTCCGCTGGGGGCCAACACCGACACCAGGCTGCTGCAGACCCGGGCCGTACTGCTGGGCCCGCTGGAGGGAAGGGAGGCACGGGAGGAACCAGGACTGCAGGTAGCAGACTGTCAGACCCCTGCTGCAGTGTAATGAGAGGTTCTCTGAAGGGATTCGGGTGCTCGGAAACAGGCTTTTGTTCACAGGACTATTTATTTCTATGTGAATGGCATCAGTAACACACTAAAACAGCATTTCAGACAGACGGGAAATACAGGTGTATCACAACAAGACAGTAAGAAACAAATCAAGAGTTTTTCCAATATTAAAGCAGACAAACATGCTCTAGTAGAAACCCCAAATACAAATATTAACCTGAAAATAAGCACGACGTGGCTCCTTTAAATCATATAATTTGTTCAGTGTAAATTGAATAATAAAGTAAGCTACTGATAAAGTACTACATTCATAAATTCAGATATAATTAAAGACTTAATAATGTTCCTCCTTCCTAACACCCCTCCATCAGACTGTTTCTGTAACAATATAGACTTTTTCAGTTTGACAGCTAAAAGGAAGTCTAATACAAAAGTTTCAAAATAAAAGACTTCCGTGTGAACGACTATGGAATCCCCCAATGGGAGTGCGTTTTAGTGGTTTTTTTTCTTTTTGCAGGAAGCGGCAGCTGAGGATGCTGGGATATATTTAGGATGACGGGGAGGAGGAGCTCTGACGTCATAGTTTTAATGTGGGTTTTTTTTTTTTTTTTTGGGTAGCTCCGCAGTGCTGCTGTGTGTGTGAGCTGATAAACCGCTGGAAGCTGCAGGAAGGACTTCTACTTTTTACACTTCTCGATTATTCTTCCTGTTCTTCCTCTTCTTCCTGTTCTTCCTCCTCTTCCTCTCTCTCTCTCTCTCTCTCTCTCTCTCTCTGTCTTTGTCTCCATGCGAGTCTCTCTTTTCCGGCACCGTCGCAGACAGCGGGCCTTCCTGTAGCCGACGCCCCGGCCTCCCTCTACCTCCGGCCGGCGGAGCCTCCCAGCCGAGCCCCGCTGAGGTGGCCTTGGTTCCCCCGGTGGCGCGATGCTGTAGAGCGGCAGGCGGAGGAGATGCTTCTTCCGGACTGAACAGAGCCGAAAGCAGCGGAGGGAAAGCAGGAAGATGTCCGGCAGGATGCCTCTGACCCCGGTGAGCGAGAGAGAGTCCGAACAGGTAAAGACAACCGCTGCTTATCGATTATTGATGGAGTTTGAGTCCTTTATTATCGGTGGAGTTTCACTGTCGTATCGCCACTCGTTGTTCACGTCTTGTTTTTATTATGAATGCTGTTAAACAGTTGTTATTATGGATGAAGTGTGACAGTTTGCACAGGGAGGAGCTACTGGGTGATCATCTTGATTGATCCACAGTGAGTGATGTTGCTGATGTTGGTGTGACGACCTCATAGTGGTAAACATCTAAACTTCAGTGTCACTGGTGTTCACCACGATCCCGCTTAATGTCCCAGGAGCAACTGGAGGGAGCTGTTAAAGGGCCAGTGCACCCAAATAACGCCCCTACTGTCTGGGAGAAACTCCAAGGCCCCAAAGCTACATTTCAACTTTTGAGGCCTTAAAATCAGATCAAATTGCAGGTGTCGTCTTCAAAGAGTCCTCGGCTGATTTATCACCACACTACCATAATATATTCAGGATCTAAATTGATGCAGCAGAACCAGAAGTGTTCTGGTTCTTCTCCCTTGTCAAAAACATGGCGACTACATTACCCACAATGCAACATTTAGCCACAGATTCAGGTGTGTTGTGCTAGTAGCGGCTAACGTAGCCTGCAGCAGAGATGAGTTGAGAAAAATGTACTTTATATAAGAAGTGTTTGAATGCATAACTTGGACTTGTTACAGAGTATTCATACACTGTTGTACTTCTACTTTTACTGAAGTAAAAAGATCAGAGTACTTCCTCCACCTCAGCTGGAGAGGTGGAGATGAACACCAGACTCGGATGAAGGGAACCGCTTCAGCTTGTATCTGTGGAGTCATGTAGCAGGAAGCTAACAGTAGAAATAGAAGAAATATGTTCTTTAATTATTGATTATCTACTACAGCCAGCGGCATGTTTTATTTTATACTTCAATATTTGGATTAAACATTTATCGGTACCGATATCGGGCCGACACAAACAGCTGGATCGGGTATCGATAGCCGTGAGGCCGAGCTATTCAATTCAGCTGTTTATACACTTTATACTTTGTATAACAATTCAATACATTTACATCCATGTATTTATAGTTTAATTTAGTTTTACAGAGAGGATTACATCAGGCCAGATGTTGCCTGACTCATTGAAGAATGATCAGTCACTTCCACACAGTGAGGCGTATTGATTAAACACTAGCATCGGATCAGTGATATGTATTTTGGTATTTTATTGTTTGGAGCAGGTGAAGAAACTCTGTTTTTTGGTGTTTCTCTCTCGTGTCGTCCGTCAACCACACGGAGAGCTGTGTGATGTTTTTATGAGTGTTTGGGTCCGTGGAGGCTGACGGACCTTGAAGGAATTCTGGGTAAAAGCAGCCTCCTCATTGTCATGCTAATGCAGGAATGCTAGCAGTGAGCTGTTCTCAGGCTCCTCGTGCACGTCCTCATCGTCACCCTGTAAAGTCCTAATGTCTCTATCTTATCTATCTATCTATCTATCTATATCTCTATATCTCTGTCTCTCTCTCAACGGGAAGGATTGAGACAAGTATTGATTTATTTAGATAAAAAACACAGACGTGATTTAAAAACCAAAGAAAACTATGCAAATCCTCACATTTCAGAAGCTTGTTTGTTTGGTGTGTGTGCTTGAAAACAACGACCTAAACAATAAATGTAATCGTCGAACAGTTTCAGCTCTACAGACCTGAGAGCAGTTAAGTTTTCCAGCCGTGATCGACGAACAGAATTTAAAAAAACTACAGTTTCTTTGTAGTATTATTCACAGTAGAAACCGAGTGACGCCCTGCTGTCCGGTTCATGTTCTTTTGTTTCCTCTAATCTGTTCCCCTTCACTTCTGTCAGACACTCAGCAGCTACAGCTGGCTCCTGCTGTCTGTTTACTATTGATTGTTCCCAGAATACACTGCAGGAGGTGATATCGGGAGCAGCTCGGTGATGTCTTCTGCTTCTTCTAGAAGTCACTTTTTGAAAATCCTGAAGCGTGACACGACCGCTTTACAGTCACAGACTCCGAGACGATATAAACAACCCCCCCTCCTCCTCCCTTTGGTTGCGTGACCTGTGACCCCCCCCCCCCCCCTGTCACCACGTCCATCACACAGAGTATGGAGCTCGTCTCCCTGCACACAGAGAATCGCCTCAGTGATGAATCACTGTGAAATCAGCCATGGCAACAGATAGGCTTACTATGGGATTCCCCCCCCCCCCTGTGAGGAGACATGGAGCAGCCACACAGGGACCGACGTCCACCTCCACCCGGTCCCTGAACTCTGACCTCTGACCTCGCTGTGTCGGGGGGGGTGATGCTGTGGTCGCTTTTCTTTACGCTAACTCGTGCTTCCTCGCGTACTCTCCTCACCTGACTTGGAAATTGTTCCCCCTACCCGCCATCATGTAGGATCTTCTAATCCCTGAAGTGCACTTTGAGGAGCGAGGAGAGAGGAAACACCGGTGGGCACACCTGCTTTGTTAAGTTTAGGAAACTATTATGGTTTCCTAATAATAAAAATCCCCTTTCTGGCAGAAAGCCTTGAAGGGAAACTTCTCCAATGTGCCAACGGTGAATCCTTCGAGAGAGTCTTTTTTTTTTTTTTTTTTTTTTTTTTTTTTTTAAACCACTTGACCAATCGGGGAAGTGAGTTGCCAGATTTACGAGCCCTGTGTCCTGTTACTTGCCCCGGGGCACGCGGGCGATCCTCATTCGTGAGCCCTGTACATGAATCATAATATGATCTGTTTTGAGCATCTTTGCCCCAAACTTTATATGATGTCGCCGACCAAAGAAAACCACGTATGTCCAAATTTGATGATACCATTATAGTTTGAGAAAATTCTCCTGCCTCTTAATAAATAAACAAATCTGTTGTGTCAGATGGAAAATGCATCGTCACAAAGCCGGTCTCACCTCCTCACAGCTCACCAATCATTGGAGGGATCATAGAGTAATAATTGTGGAACAGAACCTGGAAGTTCTGGTTTCACTTCAGCTTTCTGAGGTCGAGTGTCTTCCCTTCTCTCGTCTCTCTAGATCAGTTTGGTTAAGAGCCGCTAATGGAAGGCAGACCTCTCCAGCTGCTGTCGTCTGTAAACTGAAGCGTAAATAAAAAAAGAACTTCCTGTTTTAAACTGCTGCTCTGCTCTTCACCGGGAGGAACTCGTCCCCGTTTAGACAGTTTAGTTAGTTTAGGAAAACAGACGGCAGGAAACCAAACATCGCTTCATCTGTGATTGAAACTGGAAAAGCCTCTGAGGAGGACGTTTACTTTGGTCAGTGGTGGAAGAAGTATTCAGATATTTTACTTCAGTAAAAGTACTGATACCACACTGAAAATACTCCACTACAAGAAAAAGCTCTGCAAAGAAGTATCAGCAAAATGTACTTAAAGTATCAAAGTAAAAGTACTTATTGTGCAGTAAAATGTTCCCTGTCAGTGTTTGACTATTATATCTGATGTTTCTGGATTAATATCACTGCTGCATTAATATGTATGTTACATTTTACTGCTGTAGATGTTTTTAACTCCTTTATATCCTGTTGTCTAGTTTAATCTTCATCAATGCATCTTATTCGATAAGATCATCACGTGTTTGTAGCGTCTCTGTCTTGTGAGAACCTCGTATCTCTAGAAAGAACAAACAACCTGTTTTCAGGTTTGTTATGAAGCATCTTCCAGCTGATCCAAGAGTCTTTTTAAAGGGTTTATTTATCTGAAGAAGTAGGAGGATTTATGAAATGTAGTGGAGTTAAAAAGTACAATATTTACCTCTGAGATGTAGTGGAGTAGAAGTATAAAGTAGCAGAAAATGGCAATACTCAAGTAAGGTTACTTGAATAAATGTACTTGCCAGCTACAGTAGTTCTTCAACTAACCCAGTGAGTCTTCACAGCGTCTCTATACTTCTAGATCCAAACATTTCGGGACACTCTTGGTGTGACCGGGCCTTCAACACCGGATCTGTCAGTCGACGTTTTCTTGCCCAAAACCAAATCAGTTGAGTGGGTATGACATCATGTGCTTCAGTGGGTGTCGCGTGTCAACCGGCAGCGGTGCAGTGCGATGTGGAGGTGTAACAGTAGAGCTGGTTCAGATGCTGTCAGACTGGTTTCCATCAGCTCCAGTTCCTCTGACAGCCGCCGGCCAGTCGCAGATGAGACGGTTCCCTCTGTTGTTTATAGTCCTGGACTGAAACCGTGGCGGTAGTCCGGCACATAACCTGTGAAGTGATCAAATTGCTGTTTTTAAGGTTCCCTTTTTGTACGGATTAAACAAATGAGATGTAACATGTTAATCAGTGAGCTTTGGAGGGAGCCAGGCCATCTGTCTCCAGTCTTTATGCTAAGCTAAGCTAACCACCTGCTGGCTGCAGCTTGAAATTTAACGGACAGTCATTTAAGAGGATTTGATCTGAACATCTGACTCTAAGCAAGAAAACAAATATGCAAACTATTCCATTAACTACATCTTGTCAGACCTACTGCGTCCTACCCCGCACTTTGAAGACGATATAAGAAGTGTCTTTAGTCACAGTGACGTCTGTTTTTAAGCCTCCAGTTTGTCATTTGGGCCGTCGCCATCTTGGGTTTGTTTTGTTTTTGCAACCAAAGAGAACAGTCTGTACAGTCGACAGTGTTCTGGTGCCCAGATTTCAGTTTACACTTGAGTGCCTGTAGATTAGTTTGTTCTGTCAATACCAGCCGTTTGCAAAGGTTTGTGAGTCTCTATGTGGTCTTTTTAGTCAGAGTCTGGTCTGTAATGAGACGTGCCGCTCTCATTGAACCTGGTCTCGTTGAACCTGGTCTGACTGTGTTCAGTTACACGACTGCAGTGTTGCGGATGCGTTCCACATTAATTTAAGTGCGTAAGGAGAAAGGAATTGTTCACAGTCATGTGGACTTTACTGTTATTGCTCTGCTTATTGCACCCAAACCAGAAGCTCATTTTATGATGATGATGATGATGATGATGATGCAGCCTCCACTGTAGGCGGGAGTCCAGTTTCCCACCTGACTATTTAAAAGAGGAGACCTGCTTATAGATATTAATGTCCAGGAGTTTCCTGTGCTTCTAAAGAGCATAGATTTAGTTCTACTCATGTTTAGGGACAGTTAATTAACTTTAAACCACAAGAACACAAAACTCTTTCTACATCCTTCGTTAAGGATTGCTGACATTTGTTTTTGCTGAGTAGTAAAGAGCGGTATCATCTGCATACATATGGATTCTATATTATGTCAGCTGTGTCAGAAACTAAGGGTCCGAGTACGCTTCCCTGTGGCACACCGTAACTGCATGTGTTCCCCTCTGGAGTGGACCTGCAGTGCTGCGGTGAAACGTGTAGTTCAGTGTGACTCAGTTCAGGATGATCTAGATGTTTATAATAAATCCGTTTGTGTCTCTTTCAGCTAAAGACTTCAGACGGCCTCCCCGAGCCGCCGGCCCCACCCACCAAATCATCGAGCCGCCACAGTCTTCCGCCATCTCGCAGCGCCGTGACGTCCATCGCAGACGAACAGCCGCACGTTGGCAACTACCGCCTGCTGAAGACCATCGGCAAGGGCAACTTCGCCAAAGTCAAACTGGCCAAACACACGCTGACGGGCCGAGAGGTGAGAACGCAAAGCAGAGTTTAGACAATCCTCAAACACAACAGATCATGGAGATGATTAAGGTTCTTAAGATACATGTTCTTTTGAGTTAAAACTGAATACTGATAATGTCTGTATCACATGTTTTTCCGTCACAAATAAATGTCCATAAATCCACTTGAAAAACATACAAAACAGACACTGCAAAACTTGCCTGAGAGTCGTCATGTTTTTATATTTTCTTCATGATCAAAGTAATCTAGTAAATGTCGTCTTTACATCCACGACTACTCTGCAAATAGGAGCTGCTCATAGCTAATTCGGCATACTTTTACTGGAGGCAATCTGCCAATTTTGAGGCCAAAGTTGCCTTAATTTTGTCTGAGGAGGAGGGGGGAGGAGCCCACAGTGACTTTGAAAGGCCCAGTCAGTGGATGAACACAGAACTGTATCTCATAGAGATTCAGGTGCCTTCAGTATGAGAATATAAGCCAAAAGTGAGATCTGTCCCATCATGAATTTTGTTTTCTCCTCACTCTATTTTTAACACATACAGCTCATTGTGGGAAGAACCATCTTCAGACCCTGAAGTATGTTTTAAAATCTAACATTATAATGTACCGTCATGGTGACTAAAGCAAGGTGCATCATATTGCTTCCTACTGCTTTTATTCTCACATATTTTGGGTAAATCGAATGACTTTCTGCTTCAGTTTTCGACTCTTTCATTGTGCTCCGTCAGAGAGTCAGTGGGGTTAAATCTGCTGGAAACGTAACGCTTCAGGATTAATTATTAATGCTGCAGACGTCAGCAGCTCAGAGCCGATTGGTCAGGAGATCAAACGAGAGTGTGTGTGTGTGTGTGTGTGTGTGTGTGTGCGTGTGCGGGACGTTTTCCTTCCCACTTATTTTAAGATCCGTTTTACGATTCAGAGCCGGCCAATCGGCTGCTCTGTTTGTCTCTGGAGACTGGGACTGTGGATGGTCTGAGAGAAGATGCTTCAGCGTATTTCCTACCGTCCATTTTAATCACATTGATCATCTTTAAAGCATTTTTTTGGACCCGAGCCTGATCCTGCTGACTCGGTGTTTTCCTGTAAAACACTTTCCATTTGCTCTGCAAATTATATTTTCTCTGCATTCTTCTGTGCATTAATCTCAACGTTTTAAGTTTTAGGATTATTACTCCTGTTTATTTTTTTTCAGTCACATCTAACATCATGTTCACATTAAAAACAGCTTCTTGTAAAAATCTACAGATTTCAGTGTAACGTAGATATTAAATTATAGATAGATGTATCACAATGAATTTGATTAAGGGGGTAAAGGTATCTTGACAGCACTTTAATCTTTTTAGGAAAGTGCAGTATCTAGTTGCAACTCTGTTCCTTTAAATTAAGGCGTGTCTTCAATGTTTAAATAATTAAAGCGTGTTGTCTCGTGATATAAAACCTGATGAGGAGGTAAATGTTTTGATATATTGATATTAATATGTTAATAACTTTGATGTTTCTGTGCAGGTCGCCATCAAGATCATCGACAAAACTCAGCTGAACCCGACCAGTCTGCAGAAGGTACGCTCTGACCTCTCACCTGTCTGTTGATGCTGCAGATCGTCTCTTAGATGTAGTGGAGTCGAAGTATAAAATACTCATATAAAGTAAAAGTACCTAAAAATTGTTCTTAAATACAGTATTTGAGTAAACGTACCTCTTCGCCCTGAATTAAATAACGATGAAGCCACTCACCATTACATAATTAACTGAGGACATTTTTTTAATGAATGAAGAGTCGTTAAATATTTTAAAGGATCAGCTTCACTGACTCTGATCGTCTCTTTAGCTCTTCAGGGAGGTCAGTGTGATGAAGATCCTCAACCACCCCAACATCGGTGAGTGCAACTCCTCCTGCTCCTCCTCCTCTTCTTCCTCCTCCCCATCCTCCTCTCCCTCTTCCTGCTGCTGCTCCATAAACAGCTTACACATCCGGCTCCCCCTCGTCTTCCTCCCCATCCCGTTCCTCCTCCTCCTCTTGCTCCTCATCCTTCTCCTGTTGCTGCATAACTACTTGTACACCTCCTCTTTCTCCTCCTCCACATCCTCGCCCTCCTCCTGCTCCTCCTCAACTTCCTCCTCCCCCCCTCCTCTTCCTTCTTCTGCCCCCCCTCCCATCCCCCTTCCTCTTCCCCCTCCTTCTCATCCTCCTCTTCCTACTTCTCCTCGTGTCCCTTTTCCTCCTCCTCCTCCTCCTCCCACCCCATCTTTCCTCCTCTCTCCTGCTCCTCCTCCTCCAGCAGTGCTCAGTATTTGGCAGTAGTAATATCTTAATGCTGTTGTTTTTCAGTGAAGCTGTTTGAGGTGATTGAGACGGAGAAAACTCTGTACCTGGTGATGGAGTACGCCAGCGGAGGTAAGACCAGCTCGCCTGTCTGTCCACCTGTCTGTCTGTCCATCTGCTTACCTGTCTGTCTGTCTGTCTGTCTGTCACAGGGGAAGTCTTTGACTACCTCGTTGCTCACGGACGAATGAAGGAGAAGGAGGCCAGAGCCAAGTTTCGCCAGGTGATATTATTTTATACCTACGACACTATCTGGTCCTCGATTTCCCATAATGCACTGTGTCCCGGTCAGTTGTTTAAATATATGCGTTCAGGGCGTCTCTCTTTTAACTTGCAAAAGTGTGCGAATGGAACTTGTCATGTGATGTAAAAACGCGTAATTCTGCATCACCGCGTCTCAAATCTAAGTAGCACCAAAGAGTGCACGATAACGTTGTGTTTTATTAATTATTTTTGGGTCATTTTCTGCCTTCATTAGGTAGTTGAGAGGGAGAGCGATGCAACAAAAGGCCCCACAACATATCCTGCACATTAACAACCATTAAAGACATTATTAAAAAACGTCAGCCTCTGATGTAGACTACATTTGTGTTGTTGTGTTTTACAAGATTGTTTTTTTTATGTCGCATTATGTCCTTTATTCCTGTCCCTGTTACCCACAATTTTAAAACTGTGTGAGCAGCACAAGCTCTCCTGTACAGTATTGAAGTAAATACTCTGGTTAGATTACAGTTCGGGTGTGAGGTATGTCGGGCTCACACCTCCAGGACTGTAGCTAATCCTCCACGTAGGGAAACCTCAGCCTGCGTTAGTGTAACCGCTAACAAAACACATCAGTTTCATTATGGTCCATTAGCGTAGCGGCTAACAGAGCTGTGGTCAACAAACGCTGCTGCTGTTGGAGAAACATTATTCATTTTATTTTCCTTTTTTATTATCTTTCAGCTGTTTCTCCTGATGTCCGTCTTAATTTATTTTTGTTGTGACTTCTACTGTCTGTGTGCTGTAGTACCTCTTAGTTTGTAAGGGTTAGCAATCCTTCAGATGAGCATTAAACTGAACATTCATGGCCTCCAGAGGATGAATCCGAATGACTTTTACAATTCTGGAGAGTTATATTTATTTATTTACTTATTTTTTTACCTCACTTGTGGTAAAAATTTAGAAAAAATAAATAGAAAAGTCGTCTGTGTGTGTTATATTTGATTTCTAATGATTCTTCTTGTTCTTGTTTCACTGTGTCAGATTGTGTCTGCAGTGGAGTACTGTCACCAGAAGAGGATTGTACACCGAGACCTCAAGGTACACACACACACACACACACACACACACACACACACATTGTATAAACAAAATGAGAAAGATTTAAAGCTTTGATTCATTTAATTAATTAATTGTCTTTCTCTCCGTCTCTTACTGTCCAAAATAATAATAAAATTAAGTAAATATGATGCGTGATTAAACGTAAAAACATTTAGAAGTGTGATGGATTTGAATATTATATTATGTTATATGCCATACTATATTATACTGTAGTATATTATAATATGTGATGCTGTTTTATTACATTGTATATTATATTTCTATTATATATTTCTAAATTACAGTAAAATTGATGTCTGACACGTTAGAATTACATGTTTGCGCCGTAGTTTATTGCTAAATGAAGTGTTTTAAAGTCTGTGTGCGTCTCTCAGGCAGAGAACCTTCTGCTGGACGCCGACATGAACATCAAGATCGCAGACTTTGGCTTCAGCAACGAGTTCACGCTGGGCAGTAAGCTGGACACGTTCTGTGGATCTCCTCCTTACGCTGCTCCTGAACTCTTCCAGGTGAACAGTAGGCTCCGCCCACCACACCTGCATAACAAGATGCCATGAGGTTGCATTCTGTTTTATCACATCTTCACGTCTAATGCCTTTTTTTATGGCTCACTGGTTCCATTAAAGCTAATGAACTCATTCTAGTTATTTCATAGGATGAAACTTAATTTATTCAGAGGAAAATTTAACTTTATAAACTGATTTTTTTATGAATCAATCTCAACCACGTAGTGAACATGCAGCACCTGAGGACAGTGACGTGTGTTTTGTGAGTGGTAAAGCTGTGGGCTGCTGGGTAATGTAGTTCTGTAACTCTGCAGGGGAAGAAGTACGACGGGCCGGAGGTGGACGTCTGGAGTCTGGGAGTGATTCTGTACACGCTGGTCAGCGGCTCGCTGCCATTCGACGGACAGAACCTCAAGGTGTGGACAAAATAATAGAAACACTTTTAAAATATTTTTTTTTTTAAACGACTCATAGCTCACGAATAGAGGATTTATTGCACAACTGTTAATAATCCATTGCATGTATTTGACAGCTTGAGTTACAGATTCAGATTATTAACATAAAATAAGCTAATAAATATTTTGCTGTTGTTATAGATTAAACAACCAAGCAGTATGTAAAGTAATTAATGAGCTCCACCTTTACCAGTTGCAACATTACAGTGATGAACACATTGATGCATCAATAATTATAATCAAATAATATATTATTCTGCATTATGAGTACTTTTGGTACTTTTTAGTATATTTTGACACTTTTGTACTTGTACCTGTAAGAGAGTATTTATACACTGCACTTTTACTACTTTTACTGAAGTAAAAGACCGGAGTACTTGTTCCACCTCTGTTTCATCTCCTACATTTCTTCACAGAAGTTTGTATTTTGTGCTTCTTTTAAAAGTCATGATGAAAATGTTCCTTGCTGGATGTTGACAGTTATGACTCCTGAATGACAGTTCCCACAGAAGGCCAGTGTTCATGTTAAACTACGTGTCAAACGAACGCACCTGTGCCTCTCCTTTGTTCACTTCAAAATGAAAACTTTCCTCCGCTTGATGTTGGAAGTGTTTGTGCTTCAAGTGGACATCCAGAGGAGAAGGGTCCCTTGTGTCTGTGAGCCAATGGGACGAGAGGAGGTCTGCAGCTGGACCCTCTTGATCCAGAGTGCTTCTTGATGTCTGGTGACGTTCACAATAGGAAAACAATGCCGCTCCACAGAAGAGCTGCAACTAATGATTAATTCATGAACTGTTAATCTGCAGACGACTTTCTCAATTTAAGATTTAACATCCGTTAACAATACCCGTCGCAATTCCCTCGAGCCTGAGGTGATGTCCAGTCCAAATAAACTCCCAAAGAATGACTTTAACAGTTAATCAATGATCGAAATAGTTGCAGATTAATATTCTCTCTATCTATCGCTGCAGCTTTACTTAATTAATGAGACAATGTTTTTTTGTGTGCGTAGGAGCTGAGGGAGCGTGTTCTCAGAGGAAAGTACCGGATTCCCTTCTACATGTCGACAGACTGTGAGAACCTGCTGAAGAAGCTGCTGGTGCTCAACCCGGGGAAACGAGGCAGCCTGCAGGTAAGACCAGCGTCGGGGAGTAGAACCAGCAACCTGCAAGTAGCAAACCTCAAACCTCAAGCCCTGCATAATACATTTAAAACTTGCATGTGTCTCATCACTTCCCGAAGCTGCTTCACAATAAAAGCCTCTGAGTATTTTTCAGATGTCACGGTGGAGATGCACCAAATCCGTTGGCGTCTGCGAGTTGACGCTGACCATATCTAAATTTGCATAATCATGACTCGACCTCAACTTTATGCAAATTAAGTCCATCCATCGCAAGACAGCTGGCTTGCGAAACTCGGATCAAACGGTCAAACTAGGGAGCGCTCATCAAAAGTGAATCAATATTCTGTTACTGCATGGCCTAGTTCTGGCCTAGAATGATTTTAGAAACGTATTTAAATGTACCGTTAGGCTGTAAAATGAGAGTTTGTCACCCGGCCGCCATGTTGAAAGCAAGTCGAGGTTTTCTCAATTTAGTGATATCCTCGCAGACGGAGTGAAAATACAGTCGATTCAGAGTCAATACTGAGACCTTAAAGAAGTGGTCTTCAGACAGATCTCCGGTTTGTTGTTTTTTTCCCAGCAAATTATGAAGGATCGATGGATGAACGTCGGCTACGACGAGAAGGAGCTGAAAACATACAACGAACCAGAACAAGACTTCAACGACCTCAAACGCATCGGTAAGACACGCACACACACACACACACACACACACACACACACACACACACACGGTACATTCTCATGATTCCTTTGGTATATCTGAATACACACTGAGCAGGTGGACACAAACACGACTCCAACAGGATGACAATGCTGCTCTGGATGTCCCATAATCCTCTTTATTTGATGATGTCACTCTATTATCTGGAGGCAGCTGATCATGTAGATTTCATACATTTAAGCTTCATTTTTTAATCAACTCAACTTCATAAATCACATCCACAAGTTGTCACTAAATTGGACAGAATTTGGCCCGATCATAATACGTTGTTTAGCCACGCTGGTGTTCTCAGTCTGTCAGTTGACGGAAATATATCACCAGCTATTGGAGCTTCAGCTATGCTTGTTGTTGAATTAGCTAATGTTTGCATGCTAACGCGCTAAATGAAGATGGTGAACGGGGTCAACGTCGGTACATTAACCAAAGCTGGGTGTTTTCTGACTAATCAGAGCTGATGGGGACGATGGGCTTCCCTCAGGAGGAAGTGATGAAGGCGCTGGACGGTCAGAAATACAACGAGGTGACGGCGATATACCTGCTGCTGGGGAGAAAACCTGCTGAGGTTTGTAACACAAACTGTTGTACATTCAGTGAAATCCTCCCGATTCCTCCAGAACCTCATCTCTGTGTTCAGTGCAGAGACAAATCAAGGACTTGTTTGGCCTAGCTTAGCACAAAGACTTGAAGCAGGGGGAAACTGTTAGCCTAGCTCCATCAAAGGAGGGAAAAAAAACACCTTGCACCAACTTCTACCCAGAATCCTCTGTTTTGCCTCTCTCCACCAGTGCGAAGGCAGTGAGTCTTTGTCCAGCAGTAACCTGCTTCATAGGTCCCGACCCAGCAGCGACCTCAACGGCTCCAGTCAGTCCCCCGCCCACTCTCGCAACGCCTCGGCAAATCAGAAGCAGCGGCGCTTCAGCGACCACGGTGAGTTTCTGTCCAGACGTGACCGAGGTGGTCGAAAGCTCGGGGAACCTCAGAGTAAGAGTATTAACCTCAGATCTTTGCATGCTGTCTGTCCTGTGTCTCAGTGGCACCGTCCATCCCCCCACCCGTCTCCTACACGAAGCGGGGTCATGCCAACAGCGTGGAGAGCGACAGGAAGGAAGAGCCGGCGTCTCCCATCAGAGCTCCAGACCGCAGGAGGTCAGCCACTGCCTCAGGGGTGAGAGGATTTAAATTCTGGTCTAACCCAGGTCCCGGTACAGATGCAAGGTTCAAGCCAAGTCCCGGTAGAGACAGATGTCAAGTCCAAACCAGGTCCCGGTACAGAAAATAGGTTTAAACCAGGTCCTTACACAGACACCCGTCTTTAAAAACCAGGTCCCGGTACAGACAGATACCCTGTTTTCCTTTGTATGCAATCATACCGCCTATAATAATAAATCTGGCTCCACTGCCGTTGAGAGTCTAATAACTGAGGAATCATCAGGGTGTTTGTTCACATTGTGGCTGTAATGCACTGTGCAGCCTGTAGGGGGCGGAGCCAGCTGTTGTCTCATTGGACCGGCTTAATGAAGCCGACTGTGTGTGTGTGTGTGTGTGTGTGTGTGTGTGTGTGTGTGTGTGTGTGTGTTTCAGAACATAACTAGGAGGAACACGTATGTTCATGAGAGGACGAGCACTGACCGCCACTTGGCTGCTGTTCCCAACGGGAAGGATAGCAGGTGAGAGGAATTCTGGGAGTTTTTTATGTTTTCTCATTGATCACATGCTGGTATTCTCCTCGTCACTAACTAATCCGTCTCTCCTTCAGTCTACCTGAGGTACCTGCAGCATCCCCCTCCCCATCGCCGGGATCAACCATCTCGTCCGCACGCCCCCGTCATGTCAAGTCCATGTCGGCGTCGGGACATCCCATGAAGTCCAGCCTGCCCCCCATCGACGACAACGCAGAGTACCAGAGGTGAATCATACTGTCTAAACTCGAGTTTTCCGTCTTTAAATGAACATCTTTACATCGTCCCCTCTCCCCCCCCCATTTAGCTCCCCCCAGCAGCCTCCGTCATCACCCTCAGCCTTCAGCGTCACCAGCAGCAGCAGCGCCACTCCGGACCGGACCCGCTTCCCCCGCGGCTCCTCCAGCCGCTCCACCTTCCACGGCGCTCAGCTCCGAGACCGACGACCCGCCACCTACAACGGCCCGCCGGCCTCGCCCAGCCTGTCGACGCACGCCGGCGCATCTCTGGCCACGCCCCGCCGCGGCACCTCCACCTCCCTCATCGGGAAGTTCACCTCCAAGTTTGTACGCAGGTCAGTAAGAGCCAGGATGTTGACGTCATATACATATAATTTACAGCGTCTCACCATTTCTTCTGTTTCTCAATCCAGGACTGATTAAACCAAAACTAATGTTACACAAAATGCTTCTGTGTACTGTGGGTGAACCGGCCCTTTTAATACAGTTCACGTGTTCATTCTAAAGATGTCATGAAGGCTTTGGCTGAAGCCGCTGCAGCTTCCAGTGTTAACGCTCTGGCTCTGTTGGGTCTCCGTCCTCCAGGAGTTTATCCGGTGAGCCCAAAGAGGAGGGGCGGGAGTCCAAGCCCCGCGCCCTGCGCTTCACCTGGAGCATGAAGACCACGTCCTCCATGGAGCCGGGGGACATCATGAAGGAGATCCGGAGGGTCCTGGACGCCAACAACTGTGACTACGAGCAGCGTGAGCGCTACTCGCTGTTCTGCGTGCACGGCGACGCGCGGCAGGACAGCCTGGTCCAATGGGAGATGGAGGTGTGCAAGCTGCCCCGCCTCTCGCTCAACGGCGTGCGCTTCAAGCGGATCTCTGGCACGTCCATCGCCTTCAAGAACATCGCCTCCAAAGTGGCCAACGAGCTCAGGCTGTGAACAACTTCCGGTTGCTATCAAAAGGAGAATACCTCACAGAGCGGCGCCCCGCCGAGTGACGGCGGCCGTCTTGAGTTCCGCACCGCGCTAAACTGCTGTATGACTCAGAGAAAACACACGTTATTATACTCAACACACTTGCTATTTAATGTTTCTCACTAAATGTTTGCCAGTGAAACCAAATATTAAAGCTGACGGTGCAGATATTCAGCAGGTTGTGGTCCCCTCAGTGATGAGATCCAGAACAAACACCGGGGCTAACGAGGGTGTTCCCATCTGTCACCGCCTGCCCGAGTGAAGACTTTGTCGGTTTATCACTGTTTACATGCACTTCAGATTCTTCCGACACCTTGGAAACTGAATTCTGAACCATCCCGTTAAGAGGAACGAGGTCGGGCGGAATAAAACTGATTACACAGGTGGAGTTATGTTGGAGAAACCTGATGGAGTGTTTGGTTTCCACACTTTTTGGTGTTTGGCACCAAACGCTTCTCATGTCAACGGGCCAGAATGGTGAAGTAGCTAAACGCGGCAGAGTGTTGTGAAGACCAAACTCTATGAAACCTGGAGTTTCAGCGATCTGGTCTCTGGAGTGCAGGTAAACAGTCAGTGAAACACGACCTCCGCTGTACCTGTGCAACTCTCCTGGTGCATGAGTAGCACAGAGGTAAAGCGGAACTCAGACACCAAATATATTCTTCACATTTGAAGTTTTAACCCCAAAAGAAGAATAAACAAATGATTCAAACTTCCATTTCGTCGATGTCCACACAGTGTTACATGACGGCAGAGAATAATGTTGGAACTTGGATTTTTTATTTGTTTTCTAGTCCAGTAACGCGTCAGCGACACTCGATCATTATTGAATGACATCGGTGTAACTGGGCTCTACATGTTGAGTTAGTCCGCTTCTCTTTGGGCCCTCAGTCTACTCAGTGTTAGACTGTAGAGGTTTAAACTGTGGTTTGTTAGTCCAGAGTGTGATCAGCTGATATTCTCATATCTAACTCTACACTAACCTTCTATTTCTATTGTGACGTTTGAAGAAGAGCTTTGCTAAAGCAACACGTTGCCTGTTTATTCCATCCCGTCATTGGCTGCATTATAGTGAAACACTTTACTCTGAAACAGGAAGCTGTTCATATTTAAATTTGCACACATTTTGATGTCAAGCTCCCAGTTTATTTTACCAATGACTGTTGATTTATTCTCTTGTTATCTTTGTCTCTTTCTGCTGGTCTCAGTTGTCGGTCTGGTTTTAAAACAAACTGAAAACGTATCCTCGTCGGCGGAGAGATGCTCCGAAGCGTAGACGTTGGATCATCAATGTTGGTCTCCCCATCGTTCTGTCTGATTTTATATAACTAGAAGCTACATGTCGTTAGTTTCCCCTCCTGACTTTAAACACCCGTCAGTTCTCCTGATGATGATTTTATTTTTTTGCTGTCACGCTGACGTTTGCATTAAATATCCAGTTGCGCTGTTGAGTTGCACAGTTTACAGTCGAGGTAATGAGTCATGAAGTGTGACGTACAGTCGGTGACGTCATCCTCCCTGGCCTGTGTCCTCTGACCCCCCCCCTTGTTGGCTGATGTTAATACTATTGCAATAATACTGGAGCTCTCGGTCGATGATGTCAGCGGTTCAAACACAAACTCTAAAGCTCTTCTTTCTTTTCTTTTCTTTTCTTTTTTTTAACACATTTGCAGCTGACGGAACAGAATGTGTTTTTATTATTTTATTTTTGTTGCTGCATAAAACCATACCTGTCCAGGTGAATATGTGCAGGTACAGTATTGATCAGTTGGTTTTTATTTGGTCCACACTGTCGACGTTTGTTTTCACTGAGAATCTGACTTTCTTTCTTTTCAAAGCTTTTAACAGCGAGATATAAAACGTAATGTTTATGTTGCATTAAACCAGAACCCCATGAGCAATCACGATGTCCCCTGTTCAAACCTAAAGGATCAGTCTGGTGTTTCTTTCTATATGTATATATTTGTTTTTTTTTATAATCAACTAATCTCACGTGCTTCCTGTCTGTGGCTCTCAGCTCCGAGCCCATTGGATCCCACTGAAGACGTAAATCTTTAAAAATATGAAGTTTAATGTTTAAAAAAAGGCTACATAATTTCCTAAAACAGCTGGTGACTCTTTTTAGTTTTTACATTTTTTTTAAATTTTATTTTATTTTGTAAACAAACGGAGGAAATCATCTTGTTGGGACTATTTTCCGCAGCGGATTAATCCACATTTGTCGCTCTAGTGACTATTTAGTAAGACATATGAGACACACACACACACAGTCAGTAAATACGTTCACTATTGGTTTTGGTCTTTTCTTGTTGGGAAGAAGCGACGTGTAGAAAATCACCAGATTTATCCTTTAAAGGACAATTGCAGCAGAACTGGAGTTTCCTGTTCGTTGCTGGTTGCTGGCAGATGACCCTGTATGTGTTCCACCACTGACTGCCTTCTGAATGTACTGCTTTGTATTTCCGATGCATTCAGTTGTCTCAGAGGAAACGAGCGGTCTGTGGGGTTTAAGTGTTTCTGTATATTTTGAATTTCGTTCCCACGAGTCCACCGAGTCCGTACAGTGTCGAGGTCCCGAGGGGGTTCACCGTGCAATGGTTCTCCGTCACTACTGAAACTGGAGAACACTTTGTGCTGTACGTTTCGAGCACTTAAAAACTGGGAAGGGAACAAACGACGCAAACCTCGCGTCCCTGCGTGACGTGGAGGAGAGGGCCGAAAAGGTGTGACTACGCCGCTGCCTTCAGGTCACCTGGGGAAAGACTGTAAATCTGAGCCTCTTACTTGAAAATAGCCTTCGCCTCAAGCTTCCAGATAATAACTCGTTCCATGTGACCGACCGGCTCGTCGTGAGCAGGAAAGTAGCAGAAGTCCAGTGTAGCCATGATCGATTAAAAACATTTTGAATAAAAACCACACAAATAAAGCTTTTTCATTTTTGTCTTTTTGTGATCGCAGCTGTTAAAACCAGACGATGAAACTACAGCTGTTGGTTTAATGTAAACGTCCACGGACGAAGTATTTAAAGTGATTTATTTCTACATTAGCTGCGCTCACATGGAAACTAAGAAGAAATCTGTTCCACTTCCCCACAGCAAACCTGGTCCAAGTGGGTTTCTTCTATAATGTGTACTTATACATGTAATGTTCCTGCTGTACACCATTACAGATGTCAGTAATGTGACCTGTTCAAATACTGACTCCAGGTGAGTCCAGGACCAGATTCCAGTGGTGTCCAGGGCCGGACTCCAGGCGAGTCCAGGACCAGACTCCAGGCCAGTCCAGGACCAGACTCCAAGCAAGTCCAGCCTACTTTTACTACAGTAAATGATCTGACTAACTTCTGTCTCCAAAGTCTGTCCATCGGTTGCACCAAATTTAATGACATCAGACAAAAACATGACACGCGTAAAAGAATAATTCAGCTAATTGTCTCGTTAGATTTTGATGACGGGTTGTTTGAATTGATTATTATAGCAACAGATATAATGGCAGAATCACAATTTAATTAAACTGAATATAAATAAAAGAAATACGCCTGTTGATTTAAAGATGGTGAATATATTTACAAACATCATACTGTAACTCTTAAAGCTCTTGGATTCAAGCAGTAAACACCAACCAGACTCTATAATTTCTTCCTAATTTAACAGCGTTTGCTGTATGATGGACCAGGTTTAACGCTTCCATCTGATTGGTCGGTCCATCCGTTCTCCTGACCCCAGCCAATCGTCTACTTCTGTGTAGGAACGAGCTCATCGATGTCTCGGCCGCCCTCCAGCCTCTTCTCCATGGCGAGGAGCAGTTTGACCCCGTCCACCACCAGCTGGGTCAGTCCCACCTCGCTCGGGCCGAAGGTCACCGCATTGCTCACGCAGTACAGCGCCGGGGATTCTGGGAAATGGAAAGGCAAGTTTGAAACCAGAGCTGCTTTGACTTTTGTGATTCAGGTCAGATGTCACAAGAAGCTGTGAAGCTGCCTGCATGTCGGATATCTTTGATACGAGTGTGTGTTAGTTGCCGCTCTTTGAATACATAATATAATATAAATGTGATAATTCTCTCTGATGCCTCTTAAGTTAGGCGAGGTTTGAAACTCTGGATTTATAAGTGGACAGTAACTCACCAGCTGTAAATGTTGTAAAAAGTGTAACAACACTGAGCTGTAGTTAATCGAGTTACGTGGTCAGGTTTGCCCTCGCTACCTGTCGTCGTGTGCATGCGGATCCTCAGTCTCTTCAGGACGTCCTGCAGGCGTTTGTGTCTGGGGAGGTGTTGCAGTCTGAGGTGGACTCTGATCCTCAGACCCGTCCCGACGTCGGCCGGAGAGCTGCTCACCCACCCCAGCTGCTGCTTCCAGGTGAACGGGTGTTTCATCTCTCTGTAGAACTCCTCCAGCTGGAAACACAGAGGTCAGAGGTCATAGGCATAGATTTTTCTCGCAGGAAGTTTGTCAAGAACTCAAACTCCTCTTAACTCTTGAGGACGGAAAGACGTCCGACAGCAACAGTATGAGGAGTATCAGGTAGTACTTTTAAAAGTCAGTTTTGTAGTATTTCACTGGAGATGTTAGGCGATGATATCATGATGGTTAAAAACAAAAGACTTGTAGATAACAACACATTCGTGAAACCGGCAGACATTTGTTTCTCAAATGTTTCCTGAGAATGAGACCCGTCTCTGACCTTCTGCAGGTTGATGCAGATGCATTTAAAGGCCTCGGCGACGTCGGCGTCGTCTCGTGTGGACACCAGTCTGAGGTGGTCCTCCATGTTGACCCAGACCACTAGGCTGCCGTCTTTACTCACCCTGCAACCAGCAATAATGTGATTTATTTGAAAAGAGAATCTTGTTGAAGCATCACAGTGGCAGACTGGTTTCGGTATTCATAAGTAATGTGACATTTGAATTTGGATTTTAGGATTTGAATCGCAGGTGTCTCAGGTTCCAGTCACTGCTCACGTCACTGGGTACAAAGCCAGACTGACCAGACTGCCCTGGAGTCGGGCCAGTCCCGGGCCACGCCGATACGGAGCTGAGAGGAGGACGGAGGGTCCAGGTTCAGCTCCCTCTGCTGCTCCTGGTCCAGCTCCTCCAGTAAGAGGAGTTGACCCGGCAGCGTCTCCTCCTCCAGGCGCTGCAGAGCTGTGAGGACAAGAGGACACACTGGTGAACTGGTTACCAGCTTACTTTGATTCACACCTGACTCGCATCTTCTCTGAAACACAGACGTGCAGTACCTCTCCTGGCCAGTGTGAGGAGCTGCCTGCGCTCTCCTCGGCTGCAGTGCGTCGGGAAGCAGAAGTCGTCGACGCCTCGAACAACACTCACTTCACAGCGTGCTGCGTATGACCTGTCCAAGTCACAAGTGCCCTGCGCACACACACGAGAGCATTTCTGTGGAAACGTTACAGTTACAGTCGTAGCACGTGAAGCTAAAGTGCTAGCATTGAACAAATATGTTGTTGAGCATCAGCAGTCATTTTCCAAAGCTTTTCTTCCAGGCCTTTTTGAGCTCAAACGCCGGATAACAACAGGATGTTGGCCAGAAAACATCAGTTGCATCAATAATGATGACATCGAAAGTCAGACTTCTTTGTTACATGTTTTGTATGTTGGCCTGACGCCATCTTGGCTTTTTGTATCACTGAATAAGATATTTTTAGGCAACCAAAAGGTTGCAATTAACTTTCATGAACTAGAACACACTGTGAAAGAGTTAAAGATGGAAGAAGTAAAAATGGACAACACACAGACCAGACAACACTGTGATAGCAACCTGTCAATCACAAGGTAGCCCCGCCCTAAAGCATACTCCTCTTTATGGTCTATTTGACTCTAAATGGACCATAATTTACTAAATGAACATCATGCTGTAGTGAAGAAGACTTTAAACTAGAGATTGAGACCATAAACTCAAGTTTGCAATGTTTACTGAGGTAATAAATCAAGAGAGAAGTAGAGTCACTTTCTCATCGACTTCTATACAATCTGACTTCTTTTTGCAAGAAGAGGAGCCGCCCCCTGCTGGACATTAAGAAGTATGCAAGTTAAAGGTACTTCAACATTGGCTTCACTTTTCAGACCCGGAGGTTCGCTCCTGGTGGTGATGTGGTCTGACCAGCTACCTTCAAGTTGTCATAGTTGAAGTCGCCCTCTGGCGTCTGGCTGCTGATCGCGTGTTGGTGATGCGCCTCGATGACTCGATCGAAGAAGTCACAGAACAGGACGTAGCACTGAGCGTCGCCCGCAACGCAGCCCACAGATACAGGACTGGACCAATCACCTTCATACACAAACAGGACATTTACAGTTACAGACTCGCATTCACGGTCCTCCCGGATCAAAACAATATATATTGACTTTGTGTTTCGAGAGTTTCTTTCACTTAAATACGGCCTGTTTTCTAGTGGCCATAGGAGGAACTACAGGTTAACTGGACTATATTCAAGTTATGATCAGCTGAGAAGCTGAAGTATATACGTATATCTGATCGTTTCTACTGTCAAAATCATTACTGATTGTTGCTCAAATGTCCATGGCTTTCTTCCATCGCTTCTTCCTGATTTTAGTCTCTCTGTGAGCCATCATCACGCTGACATCACCTGGTTCCTCGAGGCCCGGGCGGATGACGTCATCGAAGATGACTCCACTGGGGGTGCAGCGGTGGAACTGCCGGCGGTACATGGCCGGTGTGAGGATCCGTCCCATCCAGGTGGAGTTCCTGCTCAGGTCAGGAAACTCCTCGTCAGGAGAACATCTCCTCAGGTGGAACTGGGACATGGGGTCAGGGGGGACCAGACTCTGAACAGGACAGGAAGTGGTTTTAGATGAGACAGGAAGAGCTTTTAGTCTGAAGGATGCCAACAATGTTGACCAATGTCTATTCTGGCATGTTTTGATTGTCACATGGAGTTGATCTTTTGTTTTGGAATTGATCAAGATCAACTTAGCTGTGCAGTCAGATCTCACAAGCTCACTCAACGGCTAAGAGAATATCGATAATCGATTAATGATACTCTGTTAATCGTCAGTGTTGGCTAACTATGAAGGCATTACTATCTCACACTGTTATCAATGATTACCTCCAAAATCGGACGGTATCTCGTCTCCATTGGAAAGGCAACCGGAGCTGCAACAAAAGCAAAATGTTGAACATATCATGAAATGTATAATTTCTTTTATAGGGCTCCTTTAAAAATATAGAAATTAAGATGTACAGTTATCTGCTTTATATATTTATAATGTGAACTTTGACACATTTTTAGACAGTTGTTTGGTGGATGAGTCAATCCTACATAATCTTGAGATAAAAATAACATTTAAAAATAAGTTGTTTTTGTTCGCCTCTCACACTGATACGGTCAAATAACGCTCAAGAACTAAATAAAATAAATTGGTTGTGGGAAACTATGATTGTTGCAAAGACAAAAAACAATAATCATTTGAAATAAATTGTTAATTAAAAATTGTCCTATTTTTTACATATTTGTATATATTCCATAATTCATCAATGAAGATCCATATTTATGTTTTTGTTAAGATTAAACTCCAAACACTTTATCTGAAGTCTGAAACAACAGAGACATCAAGGACTGGAAACCAGAGGATACAAACAATCCAATGACCATGCTGGTGTTATAACACAGAAGAGTCAGTCATGCTCATCACTGCATCTGTTCAAAATGGTCACATCTAACTAGCTGTAATAGTGAGTTGATTTACTGAGTGAAAAACACGGAGTATGCAGTGAAAACACTCACGTTTGACCTTCCACATGTCGTCAGCACAACAAAAGCTCTCAGAATAGTTGCGTTGGTCCCGAGCAGCGCATCCCTCAAGCCTGCAGGAGTCCAGTTACAGTCCAAACAACGGCGGCCTTTTTATAACCGCATAGCGCTGCTGCTGCGTTCCACCGTCCATCAGTGGAGAAAAGTATGACGTGTTTTCACCCCACGCCGGTCTAATGCTGCAGTCACACCCGCTTCCACTTCTAGTTTAGTTTTCCCGCTTTTCTGGAGAGGAGAATAAATTCAAAATCCTTAAAAAGAAACTTCAACTTTATTACAATTGTCACAAATATATATGGAAGCCCATTTACGCCACTGTAATGAAAAAATTAAGATCCTGTAAAGCATATTGAAAAACTTATAATGATCAAGCTAAGTCGTTATTATCAGTACGTCATTGTTATCAAACTAAAATCAACGAAGGGCTGTATCCCACTGTGTGTCAGAGAATACTTTGTTGTCTAAGCATGTTCGTCCTAAAAAAGACTAGATGGCTCGAGCAACTAATCATCTTTCTCAAATCACTGTTGCTACTTTTACCACTTTGTGGTACCTTAAAAACATACAGTTCAATAATGGACATATGGAATTTCAATTTTCCATTAAAGTCAAGGTGCAAATATGTCGTGTATGCATGCGATCAATCATAGTTCTCAGAAAGGAAGAAAGACAATTTGAATCATCAAAATTCTGAATCGGCAGGTTCAGAAAACAAAATCGGCCAAGAAAATTGCTTTGGTGCATCACTAGACTAAAGTTGGACACTTATTTGGAGCAGAGACTCGACTCATATTGGGAAATGAATTGGGATATTTGACGGTAGTGTGTTACGAGTGAGTTATATCAAATTCCACCCCGTCCTCTTGTCATGAATAGGTAATAGAGACCAAAAACAGTTTTTCTGCCGAAAGTCAGACACGTTACGAGAAAGAATAAAGGAACCACACTTTACTTTTTATTAACAGAAGACTTTATTTCTTCAGTTGCCTGATTAAACCCCGAGTCGTCTCTTTCACAGAAAGATGGAGTACCTCGTTTTCTTTGTTACAGACACAACAATCTCCCTTCCTCTTCCTCTCTGTCCTTTACCTGAAGTATGTGTTCATGTTTCCTTTTGCTTTAAGCCTCAGCTTCAATCAACCTGTGGAACTGATCTAAAATCAGTTAATATTTTCATGATTAACAGCCTTTCATTCATATTGATCCTATAGAGTTAAAATCAGGCTTACTGTCCAAACCTTAACTCACAGAACTTTATTTTAAATTCTAGTGGCGATGCTGCAACAGCAAGAGTCTTGCTTTTTTACCTGGCAGCCAATCAGAAACCAGATCTTCACATTTCATCTCCTGTTCATTACAATGAAATCATATCTGTCCGCTGAACAGACACTTGTTTGGTATTTTTGAGCGGACAGTTGCCGTAGAATCAAGACACCCAGAAGAATAAACAAACAGTAAAACTTGTCTGCAGTAGTTCAGTAGCTGCCACACAGCTGCCGGTTTATCATCATCTCCTCTTCTTGAAAAAACAAATTGTTTGCTGCAAAGATGCCCCAAAGATTCATTATTAAGTTGAGATGATACACAGTGCTGATAACAACGTAGTTCTCAACATCGTCTTCTTCTTCTGATTCTCAGAATAAAGACACATTTCAGTCCCGACCAATACTTAACTGTTTCACATCTGCAGATAATTAGATCTTGATCAGGACATAAATAACTTGATTTAAGCACCAAGTGTCAGATAGTTAAGTCGTGACCTCAAGATGAGGTGCATTAAATAATTCTGAGTGACCGCAGTCGGACCTCCATCAAAGAATCCCTGAGATGATCCTAAAGCTTAAAGGAAAAACTGTCACAAAAATATTGAACTATGGCTTTAAAGTTTTAAGTTCGATTTTTTTTTTTTATGTGATCAAACTTCTTTCAAAGTATTCTGATGGCATGTTTCGTAGAAAAATGAAAAAAAAATCATGTTTAAAGTTGTCTGCGCTGCTTTGTTTCCTACCAAACTGTCCTTCCTGAACTGACAACCAGATGGCGCCAAAGTAACAATAAAACATAAATCCTAAAAACACAGTAACGTAGTGCCCAGAAGCCTACAGTGGGTCTAAACCTGCCATGTCCACCTTCACTTTGACAAACAGTGTGTCGTCTTTCACAAACGCAGCGTTTTGAGGAGTTTCTAGCTTGTTGAGGGGAAGGAAGCAAGAAAATCCAACAGCGACGTTGCTGGCGGACTCGGCGGCGGGTCGCTGGAAGCTTTTGGACGTCGGGTCGGGTCTGAAGCTGAGACTCCGGTGGTTAGCGGCACCGCTTTGATCCAGAACAGACAGGGACACGGCCTGTTTGAAAGGCCACGGCAGCAGAGCGTCGAAGTCTCCCGGCATCAGGACGACGTAAAGGGACAGGTGTGTCTCTCTTCCCTCCCCGTCCCCGTTCAGATAGACCCTGGAGGCCATTTTGTAGCCGCAGGTTCCGGTGTGGAACGGCACGCTGCTCAGGCAGGGCTGCTGACCGTTGACCTCGGCCTCCCTCCTGCTCTTGAAGTCCTCGATCTTCCAGATCAGCTTGCCGTTGTAGGACGTCGCCTGGAGCTCCTGCAGGTGCTGCTCGTTTCTACAGAGCTGAGCGGCGTGGAGATCCAGGAGACCCGAGTGTTGCTTCAGATTCTCCTCCAAAGCTCCTGGAAGGAGAACGTAACGAGTAAGTTCTGACCCTCAAAGCATACTGGACTGTAAACTGCATCTGCAACAGGAACCATCTGATTCTGGGGTGAGCAGGGACACCAAATCCACCGTTTTCTCTGAACTGCACCTTTAAAAACATTCTGTGCAGGTTAATTTCAGGTTGTCTTACCCAGGTGTTCTCTGAGGGCCTCGGCCGCCGACACTTCCTGGAGCATAGCATCCAGAGACTTCCTGAGCTCCTCCAGCTCCTCCAGACCAGGGCCGAGTCCCCGAGACACCTGCTGGACGTCCAGCTGGACAGTGGACAGGACGTCCTCCTGCCTGCTCAGCGTCCTCTGACCAGACAGACAGACGACACGGTTTAACGGTGATGCTCGGACACTAACAGGATCGTCCAGTAAATCCTTCTTTGTCCTGATTTGCAAAAACTCCAGAACATTTATTTTGATTCAATCACACACACACCGTCCTGCTGCCACAAATACTCACTAGAGCACCAAATGTGGATTAATCCACCGCTGAAAATAGTCCCCGACAGGATGTAAGAATCAAACTGTGTGTTAACCTGAGCTGCAGAGACGATGTGTTCGCGGCTGTTGTTCTGTTGCAGCCAGGGCCTGATTTTCTTCTGCAGACCGGCGAGCAGTAAACTGTCCGTCTCCACCTCCGGCTGCATCAGCAGCGCCTCCTCCTGGAGAACCTCCACCTGACCGAGGAGACAAGAATGATATCTGTGTTGATCAAAGTTTGTTTCATGGAATTACAATAATTGTTAAATTCACATATATGAAATAAGGAGTTATAAAGGATGATTGGATGATATTTCTTCCGAAATCTCATTGTGAGCATGACTTAAAACTGGATCAGACCATATAAAACAAGTCATCATCATGTTATATTTTATATAATTTCTTCTCAACAAAGCCCATGTTTGGGTTATTTTCCATCAATATTCCAGATGTTTCAGACACGTGGTGAAATGACGAGCTCCTCTGTGAACCTCCACATCCTGTAATAACAGTAATAATGTAACGTACTAATCAACGGCTGGTACAGGTTTGTTTGTTGGACGTATACCTGTTGCTCCAGGTGGGTGTTGCTCCTCAGGACCAGCAGCATGTGACGATTGACAGCGGCGTCCTCGTGCAGCTTCACTCTCCCTCTCTTATCCTGCAGGACACAACAGGGTTGTCGTCAGGCGGCTCTGTCTCGTGTCACACTGTGGCGGGTGTTTCGCTGCGTCGTCGGGTGAAACTCACCTGCACGGAGCAGCCGAACTTCTTGTAAGAACAGTCGACGTGAAGCTCGGGACACGACTCTCTGTGTTCTGTCAGCTAGAAGACGACAGGGAGACGCTCACACAGATGTTAACGTGTTCATTTTATGAGAGGGCTTTGTGGAATACTTGATTCTGATTGGTCAGCGGCGTCTTTCTAATGTCTTTATATGTGAATCACTGCCAACAGTAATGAGTTTGTGACAAACCTGCTGATTGTATTTTATATTCCAGTTTATATTACAGTGGAGTTTTGACCGCTTCATCCTCGACTGAATTCCACATCTCTGTCTTTAATCCCTGACTGTACCTGAGTAGTCAGCTGTGAGAAAGACGTGTGTGAGATGTGTTTATACAAAGCCAACCGCTAAGCTAATTAGTTATCGTGATGTTCAGAGAGATCAGCCGAGAGGTCTTGAGTGTATCTACAGGTATAAGACGTGAATGAGCTCACCTTGTGTCTGGGAACCTTCAGGGAGCAGCTGTTGGGACAGTCCACCTCCACATCCGGACAGGAGCTCTGCACATGATCCTACAGAACAACGAGTCGCCACAATCAGCACCCTCAATATTTATATTTCATTATATATTTATATTTCATTTACAACGGCGCCACACCGCCCGGACATGACTTCACCTGGATGAAGCTGAGTCTCTGCGGTTGCTGGCAGTGCGGGCAGGGCTCCATGCGGTGAGGACAGGCGTCGGCCAGGTGTTCCTGCAGGTATCTCCTCTGTAGCGCCGCCCTGCAGCCCGGATTGCAGCACTGCAGCTGCTCATACTGACACGACCTCAGGTGCTCCTGCAGAGAACGAAGTGACGGAAGATTTCTTTTTAAAAAGAAGCGTCGCAGAGCTTCGTGAGACTAGAGGTGTGATTTCATATGTGTTGATCAGGTGGATTGCTGGATTTAGATTTATACATCGATGAGGATATTAGATGGGGTAGTAAATTCCTCTCGCGTTGAAGGTTCCTTGCAGTAGAAAATACATCTGGTTGTACTCGGCTCCATCCTCGTGTCAATTCTGGTTGCAAAAACAAAAGATGGCGACGACCAAATTGCCAAACTCAAGGCTTCGAAACTCAAAACCGTAGTCCACAAACCAATGGGTGATGTCACAGTGACTACATCCACTTCTTATATACAGTCCGTGATGATGATCAGTTAAACTTGAGTTAGACTGAACTCTTTGTGTATACATTCTACCTGCAGGTGGCGTAATGTGATCACAGAGGTGCATGCTGGGGAGTTGGTGCAGTACACTTCTAAACCGGAGATTTCTCGTTTGCAGCAGTTGTCCTGGAAAACCTGCAGGTAGAAAACTGTTGATTAGTATTGGACACATTGAAATGTTGACCTAATGATGGTGCTAGGTGAAAAGTCACGGGATCCTACAGGATTGTAAAGTTATAACTGGAAATAAGCTTGCTGACAAGTTCAACATATCAACTTAAAACGTGATGATGTCACAAGTTCACTACCTGTGACTAAAATACTTAATAATGAGGTGAACTGTTTGAATGTGTGACTGTGCAGCTGACCTCGGTTGGTGTGATCGCACCTCCGTCCACCGGACAAACTGGACCAGACGGCGGTGAACTCTCCCTGAAACACAAAGCAGACTGGTGTTCAAACCGAGACACAGCAGACGGAGAGAAAGCATTCAGAGCGATCTGTCGGACTCTAAACACATCTACGAGTACCGGGAACGCTGAACGTACAGGACGCACCCGACAGGTACAACCAGGGATGAAACTGACAATTATTTTCTCATTGAATCAATTAGTAGTTTGATCTCTAAAATGTCAGAAAATGTTGAAATATATGGATAAGTGTTTCTCAAAGCCCACGGTGACATCCTCAAATATCTTGTATATTATACAGCCTTCCTGTATAGGGGCTATATAATCACAATATCCTGATTAAGGGAGATAAATGTTCAATCACAGATCCGTTGGAGATTTAAATTTTAAATTGGTGTCATAATTCAGCTTAATGTGAACCGTAATGTTGTTATGGCACACTGCAAGAAAATAAAACATGCAGCCAAATAGAGCAGACTGAAACTTAAATTATAGGCAATAATTGAACATGATTAATGCAGAAAGTTTGTCTCATGTGATTGTTATTGGCTCACAGCAGTCCTTGGAGGCAGAGGAAGCAGTAGATGTGTCCACAGGAGTTCTGCTGAGGGTTGAGCACGACTCCACTGCAGATGGGACAAACAAACTCCTCCCTCAGCGTCAACACAAACTTCAGCGAGTGCTGGATGGAGGACAGCTCCGACTCCCAGGAGCTCATCCTGGACTCCCCGGACCCCAGCCTCGACTCCTCGGACCTCCTCGCGACGTCCTCAGACGGCAGGCTGGACTCCTCGTAACCTCCCAGCTTTGGGTCTGGTGTCGCCATGAGTCTGCAGGAGGCTGAACAGATCACACAGGTGATGTTAAGGACTCCATGATACATTTTTACGTTGGATGTTTTTTTTTTAAAGTTTTAAATCCACCTCTCGTTACTGAGCTGTGATGTGATGTCCTCAACTCGAACAAAAACACACAGTGGTTTATTGTGTTTACTTTGCATATGTTTGGGTTTCTGTGAGTTTCACAAAATCCGAAAAGGAAGTCGATACTGAGAGGCAGAATTAAAAAGGCAGTGTTTAAACTAATACCACATCGTGTTAAAGCCAACTTAAAGGGGCAGTTCCAAAATCCATATTTGTATTCTCACAGCAAAACCATTTAGATTGAAAGATAGCACTACAGGTAAGATGAAAAATATGTATTCTGATTTTTGGGTTGAACTGTTCCTTTAAGTTGGCTTTAAAATGAACATTTAAGGTCAAAGAACGTTTGGGGTGAACTGTCCCTTTAAGAGCAAA